TCTCGCGTTCTCGTGTTTTTGTGCTGATTTCCTATACAGTCATCGTGGGGCTCAGTCGTCTGAGTTGTCGCAATTCGTTGTGTAGAGTTGCGTCCCTTGGATGTGCCAGAAACCAACAATGGAAGGTTTCCTCTCATTTTAAAAGGACACTGATCTACAGAAATGCCCCGAGACTGGTTGTTGCCTAAGTTATTGTCCCCCCTCCCCGCCCCCACCCAACCTCCCCCGTGAGTATCCGGATGATATAGCAGATATCAAGACTAGTTCGCGACCTGTGCTGCGCCATTCGTAAGCGCATGTATCGCTTTTATTGATAGTATTTCATTGTGGGTATATTGTTTAGCCAAAATGTATAAAGTTTCACGAAGGCAATTTTTGCAACGCCTAAATATTCAGTTATTTTACAAATTGACTGAAAATCGGTCAATTTCATCACCCAGTGACTGAAAATGATAGGATTAAAAGAAAACAAAATTCAAAGTACGTTTCTATAGTTTTGGCTTCTAATACTAGCGGGGCGGTCGGGTAGCCTAGTGGTTATTGCTGAAATAGTGCTAAAAGGAGGGTAAAAACAAACACACTCACTCACTCTAATACTAGGATAAATAGTCTATTTTTAAGCCCTTTTGAACCTCTTAAAAATTGTTAGTCAATCTGGACTTGGATTCAGTCAATTTTTTATATTACTGAAATATTTAGACATTTTATAAATTGCCTGAGTGAATCACTTTTTACACATTGAGTGTAATATACATGTATACACGCCTACAGGTACAAGAGAAACAAAACTGATTCTATCCAATGCAACAGCAAATGAATGAAAACAAAATGCAAATATCATAATTACGACCCACCGCAGTTTTATGTATACATTTGGGCAGCTTCCTTGTTCGAGGAATGTATCCGTGAATATTCACATACAGGAACAATATCCCATACGTCTGCAGCTGTACAAATAAACTTATTCGACGTCACATGGCTCTGTTACATTCAAATGTTAAAATATATACATAGAGCGTTTCTGGATATTATAACCCGTGTTCGTTTTGCAACTGATCACTAAGTTTCTTTCAGATGTTTTTACAAAGGTGGCAAGTCTCATCGGTCAGCTAAGATAGCACGTGTGACAATTATGTTCATGATGTCCATGGTGCTTTAAAAATATCCATGGAGTTAGAAAGCAATGAACAATCAATAAACGTATTATCGGCTAATCCTTTGAACCAAGTATGTTGTTTTTACATCGGCACTTCACGCCATGATATGAGTGTATTCTGTCTGCTTTAGTAAACCTACACATGTAAACACTTACAAATCCACTGTGCAAGATAACAGTGATTAATCAATGAACGTATTTTCTGTGGAACTTTTGATGGCTAGGAATGATCCGTGTACAAAAAAGTAAATGAACTGATCACTCCTCTTGCTGGGCTGCCACGTGAATATTACATAACATACATTTCACCTCAATTCAAACCTGGATTCAGATGAAATAATTGCCCCAGACACAAGACATGCCAAATGGGAACCGTTGTCAGGTAATCTGAGTAGTGCTACTACTAACTATACCTGTAATAGGTTCATTAACTGAGCTTCTAGTGAATGGCAACAAAGACACAGGTGTAGGGTTATGCCCCAAAACGTGGATGACAACAAGAGATAGCAATCGTATTATCCGCGCAATCCAAAATCCGAAAATACTTTCACTGCTCGGATACTATAAAAATAAACTGACGGCCAAAAGAAACGTTACCAACGATATTTCTAGGATAAAATATGACCAAAACAAATTGAAGCAGCAATAACAATTGTATTGTAGAAATATATAATTCAGAACAGTAAAATGCGAATTTACTAATTCAACAACAAAGTCCTTGAACTCCAACAGGGATATTTCTTGACAAGGGGTCATTCGTCCAGTATTCGATCAACAACATTGGTTACAACTTTAATGTGACGACGGCCCAGACCGTTCAATACGGGATATGACCTTAATGAGCGGCAATGCATCTTCGAATGCGGCGGCGCACTGAGTAGACAAGCGTCCTCACATCGACTGCAGGTTTACGATGCCATTCCTCACGGAGGGCAACGATCAACGCTTGTCTCGTGAAGGGAGGATGTTGACGTTTCCGAAGACGACGCCCCAGCTGGTCCCAGAGATGTTCTGTGGGTGACAGATCTGGTGTTCGAGCTGGCCACGGCAGGACAGTCACGTTTGTTGGCGTTGAGGAAGTCTCTAGTAATACGGGCTTTATGGGGTGTGGCGTTATCTTGTTGGAACACCGTCCGTTGTTGACGCTGGGTGAAAGGAAGAACCACTGGCCGTAAGATATTGTCAATGTAGCGTTGTGCTGTCAGATTGCCTTCGATGATGACAAGTTCCGTCTTCTCGTCTCCGCAAATGTCGCCCCAGACCATCACACTTCCGCCCCCTAAAGGTTCCACCTCCTGGACACAACAAGGAGCCGTACGTTCACCACGTCGTCGATACACTCGCGTCCGCCCATCAGGTTTGAAGAGTTGGAACCTGCTCTCGTCACTAAACAGCACTCGCCGCCATTCCCTTTGCTGCCATCGCTGAGTTGTCTGCACCACGTCAATCTGGCACGTCGATGTTGACGGGTCAAGGTCATGCCTTTGAAAGGGCGATAAGCCCGGAGACCATAATGTCGTAGTCGTCTGGTCACTGTTTGTCTGCTGGCCGGATGTCCTTAGCTGTTGGCATCTGATGACGTCACAGTAAGAAATCTGTTCCTCAGATGACGTACCCGTAAAAAGCGGTCATCCTGCGGGGTCGTGACCTTTGGTCTGCCACTCCGTGGTCTGTCTGCGGTTCTGCCAGTCTGTCGGAGACGTGAGACCAGTCTGGTAATGGTCATCTTGGAGCAGTTCATGTTAATGGCAACCGCTCTCTGTGTCGCTCCCATCTGCAGCATACCTATGGCTCTCTCCTTCTGGACAGCGGTCAGTCTTGGCATGTTCGTTGGTGTTAATCATCGCAACCATTGATAGGGAACAGATCCCTGCGTAATTTATACCCGGAAATTGCACGATAATTTGGGGAAGATTGTTTTAAAAAATTGCTGAAAAACACCAATAATTCCCAAAATCCGCAAAGCACGTGCAAAGAACGACAGAGAACATGAAGGCTGTATTCGTGAAATGTGTTCTTTACTGTTTTTGAACAGGTTGGCATCTTTGTTTCAAAGTGGCAAATCAGTTAATGTTGGTAACGTTTCTTTTGGCCCTCAGTTTATAACCATCTGGGGTATTTCCAAATAACGACAGCCGATGAGCTTCCATCGTTCTTTTTGTCCGTTTGTTTAGGCTAAAGAAATTAATTAACATGCGCCCTTTGTCTGAGATTCAGAGATTACAGGTAACCAATCAGTGTTCTTGAACAAGGTAGTCCAGTCTCTTGTCACGCTCAGTTGCGTCAGTGAGCAAATCGGCAGATGGTGAGCCCCAGCTGGCAGTGTTAGACAGCCGAGAAGAAGATTAGTGCCCCTTTAAACCGACAAGCCGGGATATAACTAAAATATACACACTGTTCAAAGCAGTGTTAAGCCAAACTCACTCACTTATTCAGAGTCATGCTGGTCCCCCAGGCTGGATATTGGGGGTACTTTTCCAGTATAAGCATGCCTGTCATTTGAATGTTAAGGCCGCAATAAATTAATAGTTACAGTTTGATTGATTTTTTAAAAACATGGGAGACAGGAGGCATTTTATTTTTAACGTTTTTAATTTGTTCTTATCGACCTACTTTAGGCATATGTGTACAATTGCTGTCGGCGGATGCGATTCGCATGCATCATGTGTGCTCAGTAGGGCTACGTGTACGGAGTATTTTATCAGGTAAAGAAAGTAGGAACACTCATATTAACGATACTTCTATTTCTAGGAATTTGAGGGCATTAGAATAATGTAAGGCAGGATGTTTTGTTGTCAGGCGGGAGCGGATGAAAATCTATTAATTAAAGTAGCGAATATGGTATCGTATAAAAAACAAACAAAAAAACAACATCGGACAATATCATTTTATCCGAATGCTACAAATTGGTCTGTGAGAATTTTATTTTAATGAATATTCTAGCCGTGTATAAAATTGCCTCATTGAGAAACTCACTGGCTTGTGATTATTTCTGTAACTGACAGTGTAGCCGCGAATAACTGCAATACTGCTGATGCGGCTTTAAGCAATATTACTCACTCACTCACTGACGGTAATAGTTTTGTTTCCAGCTTTCGGACACATTTATGTTTTCACCATCATTGGACATTCATAGACACAATTTTTTTTATTAAATTACATTGAGCATGTTTAGGGTTTTATTAAAAAGTACATAGGAAACTGTAACAACGGGAGATGACTCAGACTTTGTGTATGTAAATTACATAGCATTTTCAAGCTCAAGTCATAAGTTTGCTAAATACTACTTGGAGAATGAAGAGCATGAAAGAAGCATGGCCAAAGGACTACTAACGTGCGCATGCGCTTGACCTTATGATATTACGCATGCGCACGGACAGCGTCTAAAACGCGAGAACACGAGAACGCGAGATCGCGAGAAAATGAAATGTCGCATTCTCGCGTTCTCGCGATTTCGTTATTTTGTGGCCTAATTTGACAAGTCGAGATTGCGAGATTGCGAGATTTTGCATCATGTCCAAATGTCGCATTCTCGCGTTGTCGACATTTGACAAAAAGTGCTATGTACCAAAAACACGAGAATGCGAGATCGCGAGAACGCGAAATTTTGGCCAAATCTCGCGTTCTCGCGATCTCGCATTCTCGTGTTTTGGGCATATTTACCTCGTTTCCAAAGGTCGAGATCGCGAGAATGCGAGATCGCGAGAATGTCCCTTACAGTATTCCATAGCATACAGCCTAATCCGTAATTCTAGGTTTCAAATAGGCTATGTAAGGTGAGCTAAATATCTTGTATGTACTCAGTTTCGCTTAGTTTAACCTGGTATATTGATTAATTTTAAAGGAATTCCTCCTAAGAAAGGGGAAAGTGGGAGTGTTGAGGTGTGTGTCCAGACAAGGGACTCAGACTGTTCCCAGACCTGGATTGTCAAGGCTACCAACTGTGTCACCTACATCATCTATAAACTGGTCAAGGCTCCCGTCCAAGACGCAGTGTACTGTACAGGTAAACCAAACTGTGTCACGTACACCATCTATAAACTGGTCAAGGCTCCCGTCCAAGACGCAGTGTACTGTACAGGTAAACCCAACTGTGTCACGTACACCATCTATAGACTGGTCAAAGCTCCCGTCCAAGACGCAGTGTACTGTACAGGTAAACCTAACTGTGTCACGTACACCATCTATAGACTGGTCAAAGCTCCCGTCCAAGACGCAGTGTACTGTACAGGTAAACCCAACTGTGTCACGTACACCATCTATAGACTGGTCAAAGCTCCCGTCCAAGACGCAGTGTACTGTACAGGTAAACCTAACTGTGTCACGTACACCATCAATAGACTGGTCAAAGCTCCCGTCCAAGACGCAGTGTACTGTACAGGTAAACCAAACTGTGTCACGTACACCAACTATAGATTGGTCAAGGCTCCCGTCCAAGACGCAGTGTACTGTACAGGTAAACCAAACTGTGTCACGTACACCATCTATAAACTGGTCAAAGCTCCCGTCCAAGACGCAGTGTACTGTACAGGTAAACCAAACTGTGTCACGTACACCATCTATAAACTGGTCAAAGCTCCCGTCCAAGACGCAGTGTACTGTACAGGTAAACCAAACTGTGTCACGTACACCATCTATAGACTGGTCAAAGCTCCCGTCCAAGACGCAGTGTACTGTACAGGTAAACCAAACTGTGTCACGTACATCATCTATAAACTGGTCAAAGCTCCCGTCCAAGACGCAGTGTACTGTAAGGTTAAATCAACTGTTACTATGTCGCGTATACCATCTACAGACTGTTGAATACTCCCTGTTAAATACTCCATAGATTCAATTCCTCACATACAATTCGTAACAGAAACATCATCTTGAATGAGGAAATTTATATGTTGTGTAGGGTGAACGGGTGGTCCAGTCGTCTAAGGCGCCGTGATTCGCTGGGCAGAGTTGCGTCGCTCGGGCATGCCAGAAACCTATGATTGTGGGTTCGAATCCCGGTTCGCCCCAATTATGTTTCTAGGTTTGTCAGTACCATACCGGTGCTCGTGGGTTTCACTGAAATGGTAAACGTCTGAGACCTTCATCACTTCGGGCTTTCCTCACACATTAAGATGAAACGCCGCGATATAATTGTAATACTGTTAAAAGCGACCTTAAACCCAACTCACTCACTCATATGTTGTGTGAATGGAGTTAAAGGGGTTTCACCATCATGGTCCGATATCTGTGTGATGTCTGTCTCTGTTTTAGGCCCTGATGATCCAGGAGTCCGCAGCTGTAAGTATCAGCACTGGAATGGTTGCTAACGTTTACCTTACACACATGGTTAACCACACTTTATCAGTTATATCACTGCGTGTTTACAGAATAAGAACTGAAGTTAGTGACTGAAAACAGAGCACCAGGGCCGAAGGGCACGTGTCAGTAGGTGCCTGTTGGAATGTTAATAACCTTTGCTGACAAAATGATTTCGTCCAGAAAATATTGAAAAGGTACTTTGGCCTCATGGTTTAACACCTATTGTCATCACAACTTTCAGTGATTCATATATATAATTTTTACCAGTATATTGCCTTTTATGCCCAATGTTTCGGTAGATAATCGGGTATACTGTAGCGTTGACGTTTAATGTATATAATTCAAAGCCATTGTTAGATGCCATGGTTTCGGTCCGAAACAATTTCTTTGTCCATCCTTTCAAGTAAATGAGACCGCCTCCGTGGTCTAGTGGTAGAGCGTCCGCCCAGAGAGCGGAAGGTACGGGGTTCGACCCCCTACCGCGTTATACCAAAAGACGTTAAAAGATGGTACTTGTTGTTACCATGTCTGGCGCTCGGCATTAAGGGGCTAAAACAAGGACTGGTCGGCTCGGAGTCAGTATACTGTGTCTGAGTGGGGTATTCATGTTAAACTGCGACATGGTATCTCAGTGAGCTAGCACTATAAATCGGCATCAGTCCGGACTAGTACAAGCAGCAACACACACACACACACACACACACACACACACACACACACACACACACACACATGCACGTCGCTGTATAAGTGCTATAATCTTGGACGCGACGTTAAACCCCTTTTCACCTCACCTCAAGTAAATGATAAAAAAAATTATTGTAGATCTGACAGAAATACTGTTCTGTCTCTCGTACAATAACCCAGCTGCCTCGCATTTGAGAAATAAGTCGACTCTGTGTTAAATCCCCATGTTACTCCATGCTTGTCCTTAGAGTCGACAAAATGGTTCGAGTGGTCAGTCCGTGACATTTTATTGCGTGTCTTGTTGCCCCGATTGTTGTCAGTCGTTGTTCTCAAACCTGATATTTAGACCAGTACGACATCTCTCTGTGTTAGGACCTGAGGATATCTCTGTAGAAGGTCGTGTCAGGTGAACTCTGAACTCCGTGGGTTCTTGAGCCAATAAGGTGTCAGCTTTCCATGACGATTCGGGATAATTTTGTTTTACCTCAATTTGGAAATTTCAATTGCACAAATGAAAACCCACACAGAACACAAATAACCCTTTGATGGTACTCGGGGCGGTCGGGTAGCATTGTGGTAAAATTGTTCGCTCGTCACGCCGAAGACCGGGGTTCGATTCCCGACATGGGTAAAATGTGTGAAGCCCATTTCTGGTGTCCCCCGCTGTGATATTGCTGGAATATTGCTGAAAGCGGCGTAAAACCATACTCATTCACTCACTCACTCTATGGTACTCCCTTTTTGGTTGAAGGCTCCCAAGAACGACTTGACGTATGAACTATCCACAATTGCAACATAGCTATGCACGTTCGAATCTACTCGTTTTAGTTCGTTTCTGAGATACAGAAGTGAGATAAGTTGGTTTGAATGCTTCCCTCACACTTACCGATATGTGAGCCTTCGTGATTATTGGCTGAATATAACGTTCACTCGACGTGATCTCCTGTGAAATGTGTATCGCATTACAGTATACTCTCTGATTGTTATGAAAAAGTCGCTGTTCGGGTTTCTGTGGCGTTAAACAACATTCACTCGCTCACTGTTTCAGCTGTAACTTTACAGCAACCGATTATCACTATCGACGTGGTCCGACTCCAGCAGACCAGCCACTTCATATTCTACTGCGACATCGACAACATCGACCCCTTCTACTTCTACCAGACGTTGTGGTACGGGAACAACAGCCGCCTCCACACATTTGATACGCTGCAGCCTATGTCTGACTTCAGACAGGTCACCGCCCTCACGGAGGACATGCTGGTGAAGAAAGGAATCACACACATTGGATTTACTGTATGTTGTTACTGAGAATTGTCCTGAATTCACCATGCTTGTTTCACTTTACACACAGTCAGGGTTTCCGGGTTAGGGTTGATTATTTTCAAGGATTCTGTGTATTAGTTGATTATTGTCAAGGATTCTGTGTTAGGGTTGATTTTTTTCCCGGCTTCTGTGTTAGGGTTGATTATTTTCCCGGCTTCTGTGTTAGGGTTGATTATTTTCCCGGCTTCTGTGTTAGAGCTGATTATTTTCCCGGCTTCTGTGTTAGGGTTGATTATTTTCCCACGTTATCTGTTAGGGTTGAATATTTTCCCGGATTCAGTGTTAGGGTTGATAATTTTCCCAGATTCCGTGTTAGGGTTGAATATTTTCCCGGCTTATGTGTTAGGGTTGATTATTTTTCATGATTCCGTGTTAGGGTTGATTATTTTCCCGGCTTCAGGGTTAGGGTTGATAATTTTCCCGGCTTCTGAGTTAGGGTTGATGATTTTCCCGGCTTCTGAGTTAGGGTTGATGATTTTCCCGGCTTCCGGGTAAGGGTTGATTATTTTCCTGGCTTCTGTGTTAGGGTTGATTATTTTCCTGGCTTCTGAGTTAGAGTTGATTATTTTCCCAGCAAGTGGGCCTGTCGTAAGAGGCTACTTAATGGATCAGTGTGCCACGCTCGTTGGATTTGTAATCTGACCCCTACGGTGTAGATTGTTTTTTTTAAATCTCGATACATTAATCGTCTTGTTCCAACAGCAAGAGGATGGTGCGAGCTGTGTCTAAGCTGTAAACTCGAGTCTGTAGACACACAATTGCCATGTAGATATATAGTTTGATAAAGGCTTTTCGAAGTGTGTATCTTGGACACACTGAACAATAAGTATCCTTGACTTCACAATTTGTAACTGCGTTTTGCTTCACAGGTGAAGTGTGACATCAGGGTAAGGAAGACGAAGCAGGGACCTGCTATTACTACCATAGGGAGTGAATGGAAACTTGCAGGAGTAAAGGTCAGTCGTCAACTTGTATCACTGCTTGCGTATTATTTGACATAGGCATGAAACGTTTCACCTTGGCTTTGCATGGCTGCTGGAAGTCTAAACATCAACAACGTCCGCTGTATACTCCCCAGGGAGCTGAGAATGAAAATCGAGTGCACACTGATCCATTGACCAGGGTAAAAATGTTAGCGCTTGAAGCAGGCACCGAGTGTGTGGAGCCTAGCGTAATTTAAGAACCCACAAGTACACACGTGATTAGAACAGCAAAATGAATTGCTGAAAGATTCCCGTCAAACTACAATAGGCATCTAGAAGACTGAAGAGTGAGTGAGTACGGTTTTACGCCGCTTTTAGCAATATTCCAGCAATATCACGGCGGGGGACACATGAAATGGGCTTCACACATTTTACCCATGTCGGGAATCGAACCCGGGTCTTCGGCGTGACGAGCGAACTCTTTAACCACTAGGCTACCCGACCGACCCAGAAGGCTGAAGAACGTGAAACGGATTAGATATAGGCAGACACGTCGTTACAAACAGTACAGACGTGTTAGGCATTCTCTACCAAACCCGAGGTGGGTGATGCTTTTTTATCTGACTTATAAACCGAAAGACAAATCTGAAACATCATTTATCAACAATTTTATGTTTCCAACACACTTTCAACGAACCTTAGGGAAAGGGCGTAATATATATCTTGATACGGAGACCCTCATAAACATTCAGCGCCTCTGTATCCTGGTGGTTGACATACGAGGCTATAATTACAAAGGTTGCAAGTTCAATCCACTGAAATGTAAGTCACGTTTTTATATGATTTTGACAACACTGCAATGTGTGTCATGTAGATTGTGTCATAGCAAAATATATCTTAAACTAGGGACATTGAAAACATGACAATCCAGAGATTGACATCATAAGCATCGATCTACTCAATTGAGATGCGATGACATGCATCAACCAAGTCAGCGAGCTTCACAAAGTCCTCTTTTACGACAAGCATAGTCGCCTTTTACAGCAAGGGTTGCTGAAGACTTATTCTACCCCGGATCTTCACGGAACTGAAAACATGTTAAACCCCGTCTGGAAGACCAGAGGACTTTCTGTGACGTTTCAGGACTTCCTCTTTCCACTCCATCCGCCTTCACCTCATTTATTGTTGTCTTCCTCCAGCCAGCAACATGGAACTTAACCCTGTCGGAGGCAGAGACGAAGGTTCTTCATCTGGACGTCACCGCACCTGTAGATTGTGGGGCTTCAAGTCAGTGTGGACTGCATGTCCTGGTGGAGACTAAAGCGACACCTACTTGCGGACCTCCGGCATTGGTGGAGAAGGGCTGTGACGTTTGGCTGACAGCTGGAGAGGGTGGGGATCTCAGCATCAGGGGAGGTGAACTGCACGGAGCTGGTATCAGTCAAGGGCTTACCAGGTTAACCCTGAGAACCGCGGCCAATCATCACATGGCATTCTGGAGATCCGTGGTTGTAGGTGAAATAGTGGTATGTATGCTGTCAACTAAACCACCATATAGGTATTCAAAGTATATTTGCTAAGTGCAACCACATTACTTGTTGTATCAATATTTCTTTTATCTTCCAAGTTGTTGATAGACTAACTGTTCACTAGCTTTTTTTTGAAAAATATATGGTGCAACACTGTATATAACACAGCCACAATAACGTGTCTTTATTTGGTCTTGAATGATACAATCGTCTCGAAGGTAACAAAGACAATGCTATTTAGAAAGTGGTCAAATGTAACATTGTCTGTTCATAATCGCCTTGAAGTTAGAGACTAGTGTAACGGCCATAAAATTTCCGAGTCCCGTGATGGGATTCGAACCACGGACCTTCTGATCACAGGTCGGACGCCTTGTCCACATGACCAAAGAGGTTAACCCCGTCAGCAAGCTGACAAGGTAAGGATGTCATCTGTGGGATGACTCCACGCCCTTCTACATACTCCCCCGTCAACAGAAGGCACGTCCCGGGCCGCATAGTAGGGTACTGAGGCTTATTTTGCTCAAATTTAATATGAACGTGCTCAGCCCCACGTTGGGCGCCAATGTAACGGCCATAAAATTTCCGAGTCCCGTGATGGGATTCGAACCACGGACCTTCTGATCACAGCTCGGACGCCTTGTCCACATGACCAAAGAGGTTAACCCCGTCAGCAAGCTGACAAGGTAAGGATGTCATCTGTGGGATGACTCCACGCCCTTCTACATACTCCCCCGTCAACAGAAGGCACGTCCCGGGCCGCATAGTAGGGTACTGAGGCTTATTTTGCTCAAATTTAATATGAACGTGCTCAGCCCCACGTTGGGCGCCAATGTAACGGCCATAAAATTTCAGAGTCCCGTGATGGGATTCGAACCACGGACCATCTGATCACAGGTCGGACGCCTTGTCCACATGACCAAAGAGGTTAACCCCGTCAGCAAGCTGACAAGGTAAGGATGTCATCTGTGGGATGACTCCACGCCCTGCTACACTAGGAACAGGCTATTATTCATAAGTAAGAATTTAGGAGAGGTAAACTGTGGTTGCAACATTATCTGGTGCAACATTATGTCACTTACGTGGAGACATTCATGTGTGTGTGGCTGCTTGTACTCGCCTAGACGAGTGCCAGTTATATAGTGCTAGCCCAATGAGATACCATGTCGCAGTTCAACATGGATGCCCCATTCAGACATTCAGACTGACTTGAAGTCACCCAATCTAAGCTTTGTCTCCTTAATGCCGAGCGCCATGCAGGGTAACAACAATGCCATCTCTTGAACGTCCTTAGGTATGACCCGGCCAGGATATAGAACCATCGACCTTCTGCTCTCCGGGCAGACGCTCTATCTTTACCACGGATGTGATCTTAATTAAGAGAGTGATCATACATGTATGCAATGGCAAGAAATGTACATTTGCTTGGAACATGGATTAGAAATGCAGAATGTAATGTCCCACAGGTCACACAGCAAGATACACGACGTCGCTCTCTGTATGTCCTCTGTTGCAGGTATTCTGTATGTCCTCTGTTGTAGGTATTCTGTATGTCCTCTGTTGTAGGTAGTCTGGATGTCCTCTGTTGTAGGTATTCTATATGTCCTCTGTTGTAGGTAGTCTGGATGTTTTCAGTTGTAGGTATTCTGTATGTCCTCTGTTGTAGGTATTCTGTATGTCCTCTGTTGTAGGTAGTCTGTATGTCCTCTGTTGCATGTAGTCTGGATGTCCTCTGTTGTAGATATTCTGTATATCCTCTGTTGTAGGTATTCTGTATGTCCTCTGTTGTAGGTAGTCTGGATGTCCTCTGTTGTAGGTATTCTGGATGTCCTCTGTTGTAGGTATTCTGGATGTCATCTGTTGTAGATAGTCTGGATGTCCTCTGTTGTAGGTATTATGGATGTCCTCTGTTGTAGGTAGTCTGGATGTCTTCAGTTGTAGGTATTCTGTATGTCCTCTGTTGTAGGTATTCTGTATGTCCTCTGTTGTAGGTATTCTGTATGTCCTCTGTTGTAGGTATTCTTGATGTCTTCTGTTGTAGATAGTCTGGATGTCCTCTGTTGTAGGTATTCTGGATGTCCTCTGTTGTAGGTATTCTGGATGTCCTCTGTTGTAGGTAGTCTGTATGTCCCCTGTTGTAGGTATTCTGTATGTCCTTTGTTGTAGGTAGTTTGGATGTCCTCAGTTGTAGGAATTCTGGATGTCCTCTGTTGTAGGTATTCTGTATGTCCTCTGTTGTAGGTATTCTGTATGTCCTCTGTTGTAGGTATTCTGTATGTCCTCTGTTGTAGGTATTCTTGATGTCTTCTGTTGTAGATAGTCTGGATGTCCTCTGTTGTAGGTATTCTGGATGTCCTCTGTTGTAGGTATTCTGGATGTCCTCTGTTGTAGGTAGTCTGTATGTCCCCTGTTGTAGGTATTCTGTATGTCCTTTGTTGTAGGTAGTTTGGATGTCCTCTGTTGTAGGAATTCTGGATGTCCTCTGTTGTAGATATTCTGTATGTCCTCAGTTGTAGGAATTCTGGATGTCCTCTGTTGTAGGTATTCTATATGTCCTCTGTTGTAGATAGTCTGGATGTCCTCAGTTGTAGGTAATCTGGATGTCCTCTGTTGTAGGTATTCTGTATGTCTTCTGTTGTAGGTATTCTGTATGTCCTCTGTTGTAGGTAGTCTGGATGTCCTCAGTTGTAGGTAGTCTGGATGTCCTCTTTTGTAGGTAGTCTGTATGTTCTCTGTTGTAGGTATTCTGGATGTCCTCTGTTGAAGGTATCCTGTATGTCTTATGTTGTACGTATTCTGAATGTCCTCTGTTGTAGGTATTCTGAATGTCCTCTGTTGAAAGTATTCTGTATGTCCTCTGTTGAAGGTATTCTGTATGTCCTTTGTTGTAGGTAGTTTGGATGTCCTCAGTTGTAGGAATTCTGGATGTCCTCTGTTGTAGGTATTCTGTATGTCCTCTGTTGTAGGTATTCTGTATGTCCTCTGTTGTAGGTATTCTGTATGTCCTCTGTTGTAGGTATTCTTGATGTCTTCTGTTGTAGATAGTCTGGATGTCCTCTGTTGTAGGTATTCTGGATGTCCTCTGTTGTAGGTATTCTGGATGTCCTCTGTTGTAGGTAGTTTGGATGTCCTCAGTTGTAGGAATTCTGGATGTCCTCTGTTGTAGATATTCTGTATGTCCTCAGTTGTAGGAATTCTGGATGTCCTCTGTTGTAGGTATTCTATATGTCCTCTGTTGTAGATAGTCTGGATGTCCTCAGTTGTAGGTAATCTGGATGTCCTCTGTTGTAGGTATTCTGTATGTCTTCTGTTGTAGGTATTCTGTATGTCCTCTGTTGTAGGTAGTCTGGATGTCCTCAGTTGTAGGTAGTCTGGATGTCCTCTTTTGTAGGTAGTCTGTATGTTCTCTGTTGTAGGTATTCTGGATGTCCTCTGTTGAAGGTATCCTGTATGTCTTATGTTGTACGTATTCTGAATGTCCTCTGTTTTAGGTATTCTGAATGTCCTCTGTTGAAAGTATTCTGTATGTCCTCTGTTGAAGGTATTCTGTATGTCTTCTGTTGTAGGTATTTTGTATGTCCTCTGTTGTAGGTAACGGTTGCAAAGAATCAGACAGTCACAGACAAGAAGGTGTGCATGGTCACTGCCCACTCGCACATGGTCACATTCGATGGAAGGTATACTAGTAGTGGGATCCAGTGGCAATGTATCGTAACATATAGAGAATAGTTCATCTTGTCAAACAACGAGTTAATGTCACCGAATGACAAGGTTGATATTTGCATGAACGGAGAAATCAGGAGTTAATGTCAAGGTTATCAGGATTACGCGTGTGCAATTTTGACAGTATTCCAGGTATAAGACGGCATGTCAGTTTAATACGGGAGGAAAGTGATGCAGGTCTCAGACGTTTATCTCTTTGGTGAAACCAACGAACAGGGATATGGTGATCAGACCTAGAAACATAATAAGAGAGTGAGTTGGGTTTTACGCCGCTTTTAACAGTATTCCAGTTATATCACGGCGTGTCAGCTTAATGTGGGAGGAAAGCCCGAAGTGATGCAGGTCTCAGACGTTTACCACTTCGGTGAAACCCACGAGCACGGGTATGGTGCTGACAAACCTAGAAACATAATCGGGGCGAACCGGAATTCGAACACACAATCGTAGGTTTCTGGCGTGCCCAAGGGACGCAACTCTGCACAGCGAATCGCGGCGCCTTAGACGACTGGGCCACCCGTTCCCCCTAGAAATATAATTTAGGCGAACCGGGATTCATAGGTTTCTAGCGTGCCCAAGCGAGAAACCCGTCCGACCAACCGATATTGTAGTATTGTAGTATTCCTTCTGTAGACACCCGATATGTAGAGTATTGCACATGTTTGTTGAGTTGCACAGTTGTGCATAACGCTACTTTAAGGATACCCTTGGCATTTCCAGACACTACGAGCATCATTCTGAAGGAGTATTCACATTGTATGGCAACCGGCTAGTCCACACCGAGGTAAGATCGTGTATAGTTCAGGGACCGGTTGCACAAAGCGGCAGTAGCGCTGAGACTGTCGTGAGTCAATATTGAAGTATGAAAGTCAGGATCATCCTAGCGCTAAGATCGCTTTTGGAACCGGCCCCTGGGTGCCGTTGTGCAAGGCGATCTTAGCGCTAAGGTGATCGTTACACCCATACCTTAACATAGACTTACGACTGTCGTAGGTCTGAGGTTGTTTTGGTACCTTGATTTGTATTTTATTCTTAAATATAAGATGGTTTCGCGAACACCTGATTTTTGGTGAATTATTCATATAATCTCCCCAATCTGTTTCGAATGGTACTATTCTGGACTGGTTATTGTCAGTTGTTGACTTTGCATATTTTATCAATATGGAAGAACCATAATTTTGTAAGTGTCAGATTGTACGAAAGCCTATTTCGGGTCAAAATTGAAATATAGAAAAGACACGAATAGTAATTCGTTATTACAAAAACAAGATTCGTTTTTACGAAAACAATATTCGTTATAACGAAATTATTTCCGTAATAACGAATCTTTTTTCCATTATACCGAAATAATTTGCGTAATAAGGAATCTTTATTTCCGTTATAACGAATTTCTTTTCGTGTCTTTTCCATATCTCAATATTGACCCCAATAGGCTATCGTAAGATTGTTGTGTTGTTGTGGTTGTGATGTTATTCAAAATGTTATACTTTCCCATAAATCAACCCGTTAATTAAGGTATTTTAGTGAACATTTATGGACTTATATTATTATTCTTTCTATATATCAAAGTAGATGGTCCTGACATGTCTGTTGTAAAGACATCTTGGATATTTGAAAGGTACAAGTGCAGTTCACCAAGTGCAGAGACACCGACGCAGCCTTCTGCCCATGCGCACTTGCCATTCGTGCTGGACAAACTGTGTTCCGTCTTGATGGCTGCCGTGGAGGTCCCTGGAGGATCCAACACGCATTCCGTGACTCACATGGGGATTTAGTCGAAGTGAAGAGGAAGGGTAGCATGTATATAGTACGTTGTGGAAAATCAACATGGAGATAATTTTATATGTCCGATATCTTGATATAAATGTAAAAATAAAGTAAATGTAAGCATTGTACCTGCCTAACTTACATCCCAAACTTGTCGAGTCCATGCAAAGTATTTTCATTCTCAAACGGCGGTGAGGTATCCTTGTCGTTAAAGTGAGTGAGTATGGTTTTATGCCGCTGTTAGCAATATTCCAGCAATACCACGGCGGGGGACACCAGAAATGGGCTTCAAACAGTGTACCCATGTGGGGAATCGAACCCGGGTCTTCAGCATGACGAGCGAACGCTTTTAACACTTGGCTACTCCACCGCCCCTAGTCGTTAAAGCGTTCGTTCGTCATGCCGTAGGTTCTAGTTCGATGTGGCTATTGCATCTAGCTTCACAACAACAGCAAATAGCAGTCTTGATTTACACAGTATGAGTATTCGCACGACAGGTCCGTCTTCCAACTGACACCTACCTGCACGTGAGCATACACCACCACCTGCTGTCGGTGTGGATGTTCCCGGTACAGAGCGACATCCGCAACAGCGGTGGGTTGTGTGGGGTGCTGTCGGGTGATTGTGCGGACGACTTCAAACACAGGGACGGAAGCTATAACCCATCATCAGATGCGAGGGTACCCTGCCAAGGGAGCAACAGAAGAAATACTTTTCCGGCGTTCACAGATTCGTGGAGGTGTGATTCACACAAAGTTAATTCTCTCTCATAATCTGTAACTCGAATCCAAAAATCCAAGCATTCAGATCACCTTGAAGATATAAAATTCAATTCTCTCTCGCTCTCTCTCTCTCTCTCTCTCTCTCTCTCTCTCTCTCTCTCTCTCTCTCTCTCTCTCTCAAACCACAAAAGCATAAACACATTCAGATCATCTTGAAGATATAAAATTCTCTCTTTCTTTCTCTCTCTCTCTCTCTCTCTCTCTCTCTCTCTCTCTCTCTCTCTCTCTCAAACCACAAAAGCGTAAACACATTCAGATCATCTTGAAGATATAAAATTATCTGTCTATCTGTGTGTAACGACGGGTATTGACGCAGTCATAGAGAATATCTCAAACAACACACACCATCCTCTAAATGGTCCCCTCTAAATACCAGGTTGGTCCCACATACAATACATATCCGAATTAAAGTTTTAATTTGGTGTGCCCGTTGATTTGTAGGTTTGGATTAGTTACAGAAGCACTCAGGTACCCATGCTATTGCTTGTGGTGATAAATGAATCACCTTACATTTAAGTATGTACTCTCTTTCGTCTAAAGAGCCTAATATCTCAGTAAACGTTCCGATGGAGTTTAATATAAAAAGCGTGTATACTATTATGTCATAGTAATGCGTAGAACTGCAGTATACAAACGGAAATGCATTGTTGTTTCCCAGGGTTTCTGAAAACGAAAATCTCTTTCTGGAAACAAGCCTGGAACATTTACAACCGTGGGGAAACACTAGCAGCCTACATTGCCACTGTACAAGCGCAACCCCTCAACACGCCCCCGCATGCACTGCCTCCACCTCCAGTTTCTGTGAACATGGTCGACGATGGATGGACCAGTTTACTGCTGTGCTGGAGCCTGTGCAGTGTCCGGGGTTGGAGAGGGAGCACCATACCAGGGTGGCATACACCGGCGAAGGGCAACAGATAGCCAGTGGTCAAGCACAGGTACAGTGAGTGAGTTGGGTTTAACGCCGCTTTTAACACTATTCAAGTTATATCACGGCGTGTCAGCTTAATGTTGCAGGAAAGCCCGAAGTGACGCAGGTCTTAGACGTTTACCACTTCGTTGAAACCCACGAGCACGGGTATGGTGCTGACAAACCTAGAAACATAATCGGGGCGACCCGGGATTCGAACAATCATAGGTTTCTGGTATGCTCAAGGGACGCAACTCTGCACAGCGAATCTCGTCGCCTTATACGACTGGGCCACCCGTGTCCCCAGCACATGTATAGACCATGATGTAGATACTAGGAAGTGCTACCTGGGAACAGTAAGAGCTGACTAGCTGTAAGATGCAACCCAGATTTTGTTTGTTGTTCAACGCCGCACTCAGCAATATTCCACCTATATAACGGCGATCTGTAAATAATTGAATCTTGACCTGACAATCCAGTGATTGACATCATGAGCATCGATCTGCAATGTAGTTCACAGTAAGTTGTACCCAGTAGTAAACGTGAGCGCTGACTGGTAAGTGAGTGCTACTCAGCTGTATGGTTTAGTACTACCCAGCAGTCAGAGCTGGTGCTACAATATGATAATATGTTAGGGGCAGAGTTAACCAGCAGTATCACCGAGGAAATTCTAACAGTTGGAAAGAATGTCTTCCAGTATGGAAGTAATGCATTGGGGAAATACACAAACTACAACCACTCTCCCAGTATAAATATTTACAGGAAATGCAAGAACCTAGTTTGGAATTTTATTTCCACTGTAATCGGCTCCACAATAATATGTCATTCTTTGTTGTTTCAGACAATAACACGGAATGAAGGTGAGGCTATGGCGTTGTGTGAGACCCTCTTCCACAGATTGCTGAAGGCGTGCATTGTTTTACCTGGCTCAGGGATCCAGGACAGCCTGGACAACTGTGTATTTGATCTCCAGGTAAGATTCAAAGGTGACCAAGACAACCGAATCGTTGATGTACAGGTAAGCTTTCGGACCAGCAAAGACAACTGTAATGCTGTTGTGTTATTTGACGCTTCTTCTCGCAAACTTCTCCCTAACCTAAATATATCTATATTTCGAGTAAGGATAAGAATTTATGGATGAACAACTTCTGTATTACAATTGAGAGCGACGAAGTTATATTTCGAGTGTTATTTTGAAACAGAAGAGTAAGTTCAAAGAATATGTGCCTTTAAGTAAAATGTGTGCCTTTTACTCTTTTGCTGAAATTTGTGAAATGTCTACAGTTATCGTTTGAACTCATGCGGGAGCCATAATTGGATAAAAATTGTGTTTCATTGTGTAATGTCCTTTCCTCGTTGTTAGAACATAGAAACACAATTTGGCAATCTTAAATTCGAATCAACGATCATCGGTGCGCCTAACGGACGCAACTCTGCTAATTCGCAGCACCTCAGCCACCCGTGCCCCCAGAACATGGTGATATGACATTGCTCTCATTCACAGCAAACGAACACCAGTGATATTGTCAAACAGTCAATGGAGGCAGCGAAGATCAGTTGCGTATACGCCCTTGTTATGAACACTGTATTGGACGAGCAGCGATCTGACGAAGAAAGGAGAGTGTATGAAAAGGTCATGGCAGTTACGTGTCCTTTTGACTGCAACGGGCGAGGTGAATGTAAGAATGGTACGTGTCTTCACGAGAACATTGTTCTCGCAGTTCATTAAATACAATATACTCTCTTAAAAAAAAGAAACGCATAGGTAGTATGTAGTTCATTGAACCTGAAAAAATGGAAAATGTTGGTGGCCTGATATTCGACAAACGGTGCGCCATTGTCGATTTGCAATGTCTTAAACGGTATTACACACTTGTTCAAAAATATCATGGAGGAAAACCTCCTAACCTTACAGCCTTGGAATTGGAGAAACTGGAGATGAGTGTGGTTTAGCGATGAATCAGGATTTCATCTTCACCGGCGTGATGGAAGAGAACGTGTTTATCGTCGTCGAAACGAGAGTTTTGCCCCTCATTGTATACGTGAATTCAACAATTTCGGTGGCGGTAGTACTAAAAATCTACCTTTGCGTTTCATTTTTTGAAGAGTGTACATTATATGCTTGTGGGTCTGGATGTTTGCTTGCCATGGACTTTATGAATATGGAAGAAACAACAATCCCAAATACTTCTGATGTGTAACATCCTTTAAGGCAGTATTACCGTTTGTCAGTGTCCTATGATAAGTGAGAATGCCCCCATTTATGAAGACCACAACATTTGTTTTATCCAGATGTATTTCTAAACCAATTTACAAAACGATCGTAAAACATTTAGTAAGATTAATGTGTTTCATTGACAACCCACATGCACGACCAAGGGAGGTCTGACGTGTTCTTCATCTCCCAGGTTCCTGTGCATGTAACAGCGACTATGGTGGCAACGATTGTTCTGTACTGAGGTCATCTGCTCCAAGGACATTTGGCTTTAGAAACAATGGTTTGTGTGACGTCAAAAAGTGCACATGTTCTGAGACGTCAGTATTGGCTGAGAACGTCATCGAATCGGACGACACGGTGTGCCGGATACAGCACTTTACGGTCAGTGAATCCCATGAATGATATTTGTTTGTTTGTCTGTTGTTGAACGCCGCTCTCAGGAATTGTCCAGCTGTATGACGTTGGCCAATACGCTATCGAGTTTGGAACCAGATGCTCTCGTGATTCATATTATAAGTCCTTATCAACGCCGTCGGGGTACTGAGATATGCAATCAACCAACTGGAAGTCACATAGCCTGACCACGGCTGGTTAGGCTACCGCCTTATTGTTATAGCGTTGGCTCGTCAAGCCGAAAGCCAGGTTCGATATTCCACATGACTACAATATGTGAAGCCCATTTCTGGTATCCCCCGCCGTGGGAATGATGGACTATTGCTGAAGGCACCGTAAAACCATACGCGATCCACTATATTAGTTCTGTGCACATACGATATGTTTGCGCTACACTTACTGGAACATCAAGTTTTAATTCAATAGTTGAATATGCCGTGCAAAATTCATATCGAGAGTAGGGGAGCTCTTGGCATGTTCGCTGCGAACCATAACTGACATTGAACGACGTATTAACGGCACCAGTGAGACAATCCATAGCTTATATAGGCACAGACTGAAGGCAACAATAACCCCGAATGAACCGCGATGACAGGCCAAGATACAAACCAGTTTCGTATGATTATACCACAACCAGCCTGTGTCCTATCTAGACAGTGCAATGTCACCTTCCACACGGTTCAAAGCCGACTACTGGATCACAATATCAGAGGTCGCCGTCCTGTAAATAATTGCGACAAACAATTTCCACATTCATAAGAAATCTCTACTAAAAGCAGAATGCGTTGTACGATTCGACTATATCATAAACAAATAGTGATGAAACCAGGCGTTCGCGAATAGGTGAGGGTATCCTGCCCACAGGTGGCACACGTCACAAACACATGCAAAGGCAAGTGAACCGTTCATCTGACAAAAAATTGGGAACATATTGTACAAGTAAAAATGGGGAATTGCATCGGACATAATTGTTGTGACCGATGCGTCATAATTGGAAATGTTCTCCACATGTCTCGATTGAACCTCAAATATTGTGAAACGTATACACCAAAGGCTTGAGCTGCTTTAATACTGTTCAACATATCTGTTGGAAAGATGAAGTCATCCTTCTTGTCATACAGCTTTTTATCACTCTGAATCTTTATCTATAGATCTAAATATGAAACAGACGAGGCTGTCTTACTGGTTGCCTTTATTCTAGTTCAGGTGGGTTCATCAGTGGAAGAGAATTGGCTATTTGATGGTTATTGATCGATATCAGATCATCGATATACCTGAAGCTTAAATTAAAATTCTTGGCCAAATACCCATATGTTGACTTTGCCAATCCGAGCTAATAGCCCTCATCAAGGAGGGGAGCACAGTTGGTGCCCATGGATATGCCTATCTCTTGCCTTAATGCCTTCCCACAACATTTACATAGTCCAGCATTGCAGATGACATATTTGTTTTTATTTTTGCAAATTGTCCTGATCCTCTGAAGATGGATATGTAACTATCAGCAACATCATGCTCACGTTCAATTCCTCCTATATGTAACACTCTATAATAGAACCATTCCTGCATCATACTTACGCTCAAAAATTCTGATTTGTCTATTTTATTCCATAAACATATCAATGCCAGTTCAACGCATACATATGCGAAATGAGTTTAGGAAGCCTTACATTTTGGCTGGACGAATAGTGGTGATCTTCTCTCTGTTCAGGTCGACCTGCAGGGGCTGGAGACCAGGGTCAGTACCACCGTGGCGAGAGCCCGAGTTGCTAGTGTCAGTGAAGTAGTGTGTAGCCTGCCCACCCAGCGTCGAACTCAGTCCATCGCAGATGTTGTGAACGGGTACCGTGTTGCCATATCCAACGACGGGATAACTTTTAGTGAGCACAGCACCTTGATCGTCTATAACTCCGAGTGCCAGGCGTGCAGCGTTGATTCGGACAGCGTCACATGCAACTTTACGGTAGGTACAAAAAGCGAATATTTTGGCCACACTTCGTGTTACATTACAGAGGTGGCAGAGGCGGACGAGGTGGCAGTTAGCATATACGCATTGACGTTGTATCAAGAATTTTCATAATGAGGTTAGATTGTATATTGGTGTAAAATTATATCAATTCTCACCATGATTGGAGTGATTAGTATGTGAGTAATTCGTTGTATCAAGTGTCTCCATAATGATGTCAGACAGTATATTGGTATTGCGTTGTATCAAGTGTCTCCATTATGATGTCAGACAGTATATTGGTATTGCGTTGTATCAAGTGTCTCCATAATGATGTCAGACAGTATATTGGTATTACGTTGTATCAAGTGTCTCCATAATGATGTCAGAATATATTGGTATTACGTTGTATCAAGTGTCTCCATAATGATGTCAGATAGTTTATTGGTATTACGTTGTATCAAGTGTCTCCATAATGATGTCAGACAGTATATTGGTATTACGTTGTATCAAGTGTCTCCATAATGATGACAGAATATATTGGTATTACGTTGTATCAAGTGTCTCCATAATAATGTCAGATAGTACATTGATATTACGTTGTAGCAAGTGTCTCTTTTATGAGATTTCATGGTTTATTGGTATTGCGTTGTATCAAGTGTCTCTGTAATCCAGTTCGAGACACCCTCCTGTACAGCTGGGGTGTATCTTGCTGTTTTAGGCGGCTCATGTGTAGCTAAAGGGATTATCTTGCTTTCAGACACCTTCTTGTGTAGCTGACGGGGTTTGTGTGTCACGAGGTCAGCTCCATCCGGGAGACAACTGCCATATTTGTGACGTCACACATCCGGGATCCTGGACACGGCTTAGTAGTAAGTTCCTTTTTAAAGCAAATGAAAAATGTATTATTAATCCACAGTTTGCGAAATAATGTATGCGGGATATATACCAGCGGAAAAAAGTAACTGTGCTACATATTAAGTGATGTAAATGTTATGTTACAACAAACACATTGACAAAACCCATCAAGGTAACAGGAGACAGAGGGACACGCCCTAAAAGAGGGGTGGTGTAAGAGATCCATTAACAATGTCAATATCACGTCTGACCACCATTGGCGTTGATAGAACACATGCGATTTTGTAAAACAAATTCAACCAAAGGCATGTCCCAACTGAGCAAGCATCCTGAGCTGATCCTGTCGTAGACGTCAATGTCATCTCATCCCGAAAGTTTTCTATGGAGGAGAGGTCTAGACAAACATGGCAGTACAGCAATTTAATACTGCCTCAAAACATCTGTTACTACACGTGTAACATGTTTGCTGGCATTATTTTTACGTACCTGTTTTGCACCAGGGCATAACCTGATCACTAACAATCCCGACCCGTGAAGATCCGGGGTAGAATAGGTCTTCAGCAACCTATGATTGCCGTAAAAGGTGACTATGCTTGTCCTTAGAAGAGACTAACGAGATCGGAGGGTCAGGCTCGCTGACTCGGTTAATGCATGTCGTCATGACGTCAATCACTGGATTGTTTGGTCCAGACTCGATTATTTACAGTCCGCCGTCATAGCTGGGATATTGCCGAGTGCGGCGTTAAACAACAAACACACAAACAATCTAGATTGGTTATTCTCTGGTGATGGCGTTTTCTATTCCGTACATGTCCCTCGTCCAATCGCCTATGTCAAACAGGAAATTAATCAGGAAATTGATAAAAAAGCAATCAGGCCTCAAATCGAAATTAAGAAAAATGAATTTGCGAGATGGGCAAATATACCCCAGTGTGTATGTCTGACGTGGATGTATTGTATTGTATAATGCATTGACGCGTTCAGAAAATGTCAAAAACCGATTTGACAACAACGATCGTCAACTATACAGCTGTTTAATACAAAGTTTAATTCACTATAAAACCTGTTTTTATAGGTCAATATATGCATATTAAAATGTAGGATGTACAAATTGTTCAACAAAATTTATGTTCAAGCAGCTGTGAATATGTAGCTGTTCTGTGCAACCAACGTTCAGTCTAAGGGAGGTTACTCTATTTATGGTGCAAGTCATTAGACCGGACATACTCACCCACAGGTGAATTCCACATTATTTCAAAACTTTCTTGTCACACCGTATAACATGCGAAAATGTATACTTGTAGGTCTCCAGTAATATGAGTTGTAAAGGAATTCTATTTTGTGTTTTGCTCGTCAAATATTGTCTAAAAAAGGTGACCCCATAGGAAGCTGGGGTTTGAGTATGGCATAGTTGCATACCTTAGGTGTTCCAGAGCCCTGAATGACTGGTTCGTATCCCGGTTTGCCCTGATGATATAACTAGGTTTGTCACGTGTGGGTTTCATCACATTCGTAAATTTGTCAGACGTGCATCACTTGGAGTTTTCATGCCACATCAAGTCCACACGCCGTGTTGATGTAACTGAAGTAGTGCTCAGAGCGGCGCTCATCCAAACTTACTCACTCACTCACTCAGTGGAAGCTTTTGAAATACTTCAGATGGCACGTGCGGTGGATCTGGCGAGGACATTTCGGCTGAATGGATCACAGCAGGATCTATTACCATGGTGACGGTAGTATTTGCTGCGACTTGCATTGCGCTGTGCTTAACATTAGGGAAGAAAAGGTAAATTTGCCACTTGCCATATATAAACCTGTACGAGCATCACTGAACACAAATTGAAATGTATATGACCTTTACTCGTTGCATTAGCGAACCGGAACAAGATTCAGTGACCAAACGTGAGATATACAGGTTAAAATAGGTCTTCAGCAAACTCATGCTTGCCGCAAAAGGCGACTAACGGGATCGGGTGGTCAGGCACGCTGACTTGGTTGATGCATGTCATTGTATCTCAATTGCGTTGATGGATGCTGATGATGTCAATCACTGAACTGTGTGGTCGATACTCGGTTATTTACAGACCGCCTTCAAACAACAAACAAACAGCATCACTGGCCCATCTTGGACTAAATTTGACCAGCACAAGTACTAGTATCACTGGACGGACTTTATAATATGCACATCATACGTCTGTGGAGCACTAAACCTACTTGGCTCACGCATCACCCAAGTATCGCTGGCCCTACATAACAACATGTGGCCTGTACACCTACAAGTGGCCTTACATAACAACATGTGGCATGTACCCTACAAGTGGTCCTACATAACAACATGTGGCATATACACCTACAAGTGGCCTTACATAACAACATGTGGCATATACACCTACAAGTGGCCCTACATAACAACATGTGGCCTGTACACCTACAAGTGGCCCTACATAACAACATGTGGCCTGTACACCTACAAGTGGCCCTACATAACAACATGTGGCCGGTACACCTACAAGTGGCCCTACATAACAACATGTGGCCGGTACACCTACAAGTGGCCCTACATAACAACATGTGGCCGGTACACCTACAAGTGGCCTTACATAACAACATGTGGCCTGTACACCTACAAGTGGCCTTACATAACAACATGTGGCATGTACCCTACAAGTGGCCCTACATAACAACATGTGGCCGGTACACCTACAAGTGGCCCTACATAACAACATGTGGCCTGTACACCTACAAGTGGCCCTACATAACAACATGTGGCCGGTACACCTACAAGTGGCCTTACATAACAACATGTGGCATGTAAACCTACAAGTGGCCCTACATAACAACATGTGGCATGTAACCTACAAGTGGCCCTACATAACAACATGTGGCCGGTACACCTACAAGTGGCCCTACATAACAACATGTGGCCGGTACACCTACAAGTGGCCTTACATAACAACATGTGGCATGTACACCTACAAGTGGCCTTACATAACAACATGTGGCCGGTACACCTACAAGTGGCCCTACATAACAACATGTGGCATGTAAACCTACAAGTGGCCCTACATAACAACATGTGGCCGGTACACCTACAAGTGGCCTTACATAACAACATGTGGCCGGTACACCTACAAGTGGCCTTACATAACAACATGTGGCCGGTACACCTACAAGTGGCCTTACATAACAACATGTGGCCGGTACACCTACAAGTGGCCCTACATAACAACATGTGGCCTGTACACCTACAAGTGGCCCTACATAACAACATGTGGCATGTAAACCTACAAGTGGCCCTACATAACAACATGTGGCCGGTACACCTACAAGTGGCCTTACATAACAACATGTGGCATGTAAACCTACAAGTGGCCCTACATAACAACATGTGGCATGTAAACCTACAAGTGGCCCTACATAACAACATGTGGCCGGTACACCTACAAGTGGCCCTACATAACAACATGTGGCATGTACACCTACAAGTGGCCTTACATAACAACATGTGGCATGTACCCTACAAGTGGCCCTACATAACAACATGTGGCATGTACACTTACAAGTGGCCCTACATAACAATATGTGGCCGGTACACCTACAAGTGGCCCTACATAACAACGTGTGGCATGTACACTTACAAGTGGCCCTACATAACAACATGTGGCATGTACCCTACAAGTGGCCCTACATAACTATATGTGGCATGTACCCTACAAGTGGCCCTACATAACAACGTGTGGCCTGTACCCTACAAGTGCCGTCACGACAATAATTGGTCTTACTTAGAAACACCTGGCCGGCACTACAATGAGTGGCCCTATTTAGAAACACCTGGCCGTCACGACAATAAGTAGCCCTACTAAGAAACACCTGGTCGGCACGACAATAAGTGGCCCCGCTTAGAAACACATGGCCGGCACAACAATAAGTGGCCATACCTAGAGCTCATGATATTATTAAGCATGTCTTTTTGTATTGTACATTGAATATGAATGACAGAAATGAACTATTTGAAATCATTTGTGATGTGATAGATGTCTCTACATTTGCAAGACTATGTAGTGAGGACGATGATATAATCCTGTCTGTACTACTTGGCGGTATGCCTGAGTGTGTTAGCTCTTTATCTCAAAGTCTATGGGGTGACCTTATGGTTATTGTGTCAAGACATTGTAGGAAATGGCTGTATATGTTACAAAACAGTTATAAGAATGCTTGATTGTCATGCATTTTGTAGTTATCATTTCTAATAATATTGTTCAATTGTACTACTGTACACCTCTGTAATTATACATATAATCATATATGATATGTATCTACAATATCTGGAGGAAATAAAGAATATCTATCTATTTATGGGCGCCACGACAATACGTGGCCCTAATAAGAAACACATGGCCGTCACGACAATAATTGGTCTTACTTAGAAACACCTGGCCGGCACGACAATAAGTGGCACTGCATAGAAACACATGGCCGGCACCACAATAAGTGGCCCTACTAAGAAACCCCTGGTCGGCACGACAATAAGTGGCACTACTTAGAAACACATGGCCGGCACAACAATAAGTGGCCATACCTAGAAACACATGGGCGGCACGACAATAAGTAGCCCTAATAAGAAACCCATGGCCGTCACGACAATAATTGGTCTTACTTAGAAACACCTGGCCGGCACGACAATGGGTGGCCCTACTTAGAAACACCTGGCCGACACGACAATAAGTGGCACTACTTAGAAACACATGGCCGGCACGACTATAAGTGCTCTTACTCGGAAACGTACGGACTGGCCCAGCATTGGCATACATGACAATACACGTGTCATCGATCCTACACCCTACAACACACCTGTGGGCCTGTACACGTGGCAGTAACAACAAGCCACGTTTAGTGTCTGCCTGTGTTGTTGTTGTGAACTAACTATACATCCATGGTAAGCATTTGTTGTTTTCTTTATCAGGGTCGGGAAATCTGTCCCACCTAGTGTCCCTTACAACCTGGGATGGAACGGACCTTCACGGATAGAGATCATACCCTTGGAACGTACACAACCAGGGGTTTGATGAAACAGAAGCTTTCGGCACCTGTACGTTATTTCCACCATGACGTCATTGTGTGTGACGACACTTGTCATTACTGGACAAACTTTGTCATGGTGTCAATCTATAATGAATTTCTGTGAACAACAAAACCATCAGTGCTGCTGAATATTGCATTATGAAAGTATAGGTTGTAACTGAGCGTGTAGAACCATATGCTTACTGCACATTATCTTCATGTAGTTATCTCCACCTTCACAATATGTTGGGTGTACAGTATAGTTCCCAACCACATTGGATGAAGATGAATTAAACGAACTCGAAATAAAAGCGACAAAACCTTTTCCATATTCATAAGAAATATTTGCCGAAAGCAAAGTCGATTGTACGATTCCGTTGGTTTGGCTGGTTTGACCACCCGATCCCGTTAGTCGCCTTTTACGACAAGCATAGTCCCCTCCACGGCAAGTATGGGTTGCTGAAGGCCTATTCTACCCCGGAATCTTGTACGATTCCGACTTTATCATGATCATGTGTTTATGAAGCACTATCGAACAGTAATGATACCAGGTGTTCCCTAAAGGTGAGAGTGCGAGTATCCTTTTAAAGTTTAAAGGAGATTTACAGTAAACTATAAATGTGGGATTAAATCATTTGTAAAACATATCACAAGTGTCTTGAAGGAAAAAATACTGAAGGCAATATTTGTGACAACAAACGTTAAAAAATACTCGTATTCCGGAAACTATGGAGAGTCAACTAGCAGGGTTGTCATCACGTGACGTCATAGTTGAGTGTTGATTTGCAGACGATCACCTTCGTTGGTATCGTTGCTTTCAGAGAAGTAGTAGCTCACGTGTATGTGACTCTTCTGAACGATGTTGCAACTTCTTCGAGTGAGTGAGTGAGTTGGGTTTAACGCCGCTTTTAACACTATTCCAGTTATATCGCGGCGTGTCAGCTTAATATTGGAAGAAAGCCCGAAGTGATGCAGGTCTCAGACGTTTACCACTTCGGTGAAACCCACGAGTACGGGTATCGTGCTGACAAACCTAGAAACATAATCGGGGCGAACCGGGATTCGAACCCACAATCATAGGTGTCTGGCGTGCCCAAGGGACGCAACTCTGCACAGCGAATCGCGGCGCCTTAGACGACTGGGCCACCCGTGACCCCTTCGCAACTTCTTAGATGTCACAGGGACATGTGTCCATACCTCACCACCCTCACTTTGATGTTGAATAAAACTCCAAATACACCACTCACACACATACACTTCACACTTTTGAAGTTTGTTGGTAATTATCTGTTCTGTGCGACCATCCATTGTCCCCGTTATTGTAGACAAAGCAAAACTACTCAACGAGGGCCGATGAAAATTAGGTTCATCGTAAATATCGCTATTTGTGACATTTTACAAAATCACCATTAACGGGGTTATTTCGAATTCCTTTATGTTATGAAATAGAAATATCGGATATTTACTCTGGGAAAACAATTACCAAAACAGCCCATTAGCGATCACGTGCATTTGTGATTTGACCAATCACTTATGATCATACTAAAACGTCGCTTAATAACTATAGAATCGTTCAGCATGTTTTACAAAATATGTAAACACTAACTCCGAAGAGAACTTTCCGCCATATTGGATAATGTCTTCAAAATCCCGTTTCGTGCATGCCAGTTGTGAGACGTCACATATTACATCACACGTGCACATACTCATCTACGATACATATAGCCCTGAATTCCTCGTACCGTATACGACGTAATAAGCGCCCCGCTCTAATAAGCGCCCACGGTCATATTTGCTAAAATATTGGCTAGTGAACAATCCCAATTGGCACCCCTTCCGATTGATCAATGTACACAAGACTTATTTTTCGCGTATGATACGCAATCCTGTGTTGTATGCACCCTTAATTATGGGCAATTAAATTCTGGAAAAATATATCTGTCGTACATAAACATTTCAGGCCGTCAGCATAAACCACGAAATTTATCGTTCAACTGGTTTTTTTCACCAAAATGATATTCTAATAAGAGACCCCTATTTCTAATTTTGAGAGCGCCCTAGGTCGAATACGGTATATGTTAACGACAAATGATAACACCGATTTGTCACTAGTATAAATTAATGGTTTAGATGAAATCAAGCAAATTAAATCAGGTGTCAAAAATTAATGCTGTGCTCGGAAAACAAAGCAAAATTCAGATTTTGCACTGCATACCATATTTATCCTGCAAACAAGAGAGATTCATTCGTCAATTCGTAATATACACTGGCTCACAATTTTGTGTGAATATGCATGGGAAAATATCATATCAAAGATTGGAATTACACAGAGATATGTTACGATGATTTGGTAAATTCATCAACAGTTACGTTACGGGTGAGGCCATGACTTTGACGAAACATCCACAACGACGACGATATTTTTCTGCATTTCTGACTAATTCTCTTTGTTACAATAGAAAACAATAAAAGAATGTCGATTTTCAGATTACTGATTACTTACGTCACACGTTTATGTATATACGATCCCGAGCAAACTTTGAATACCAGCACTTCACCGATTGTCTCCCTTTCTCAAAGTACACACGATCATTTAATCTTGCTGTTTACAGTCTCAATCATAATGAAGGTTTGCGTATATTTTACATATGTTTACACCTATACATTACACTATTGATTCATATTGATATCGAATACCTTATGATACGTAGATCTAGGGCACCGTAATATATGAATTTTTAATAACCTCCTTTTTGTTGAACATAATGGAAATTTTGACAAAAAATTGAAAGTGATTGATAAACACATGATATAGTTGTAATCTACAATCGACTCGTATTTCAACCGATTTCTTATGATTATGGAAGGGTTTTGTCGCTTTTAATTATTTTTAATCACATAAGAACATGGCATATAAATCGAGCTGCAAAATGTACGAATATCAATTTGAGTGTAATAATCAATAAGTATTATTTCATATACACATGTAAGCATGTTAATGAGTATAGCCATTTCATGTTGCCTTATAGCTAAAACATAGAATGTTACTTGAACAAAATAAATGGATAATAATTGATTAAATATATATGCACACATTTGTGGAAGGATTTAAAACAAATTCCGATCGTATGCTTGACAGAACATTGTTGACGAACATTAACCAAGTGTACGTTTCGTCACGAATGATTTACGAATTACTCTTCTCGTTTTGTATACTATTATATATAGTAAGTGTATATGTAAGTGTATAAATATATAATCAATAATCCTGATAACCCCATTCCATACCAAAGGGGCTTTGGCTTTCGCATCTTCTGGTGCATAATTCTGTGACAAAATGAAGAGACACATATGGAAGCGTATTAGTGCCACAGTCTGGTGCTACTCACATCGAAGTAGAAGATACTTTCATCAACGTAGATGTATTATAATCTTCTAAGAAGAAAGTATCATCCACTATCGAATTAACTACTTTCTTTAACAATATTTTCTCGAGCAATCGACAATAGATACAGGTCAGTTATATGTAATCCCTGGCTTGTAATCCCTGGTTTATGATTTATTGGTCGATCTAAATTTTGACATGTCTTTATGGAGGTAGCATCTAAATTTAAATAAAGTAAATCTTTATTTCAATGTGTCGAAGTTTCTGAAGAATAACACACACTGCATTCTCTTACAACCGCAATAGCGACAGGAGAGTACAAAATGTTCTCCAAACTACAAACAAACAAACTACACTAAACTACGGTTATAACGAACTCAAAGGGACTACTAATTTTAGTTCGTTATAACCGTAATTCGTTATAAGCATATATACAGTATAGCTACAGCAAATAGCCGGGACTAAAAAGTTAGTTCGTTATATCCGTTAGTTCGTTATAAGCGTGTTCGTTATAACCGTAGTTCACTGTATATGTCATGTATCAAAATTTTAGCGAAATTATATATCAACCATAACATGATTGAAGTCGAAGAAATCACTCGCATATGTTGAGTGTCATGAATTCTCCATTACGGAAATTAGGCTTTAGAGGTAAAACGTGAATATGAAGGGTTGGGAATCACTCAAACTATTAAAAGCTATATCAAATCAATACTCGCCATTATCTTATGAAGCACTAAAGGTTCAAATCTGCAGTTTGTGTTCATATTTAAGCGCTGATAGTTTGAGAGTTTGCAATGATTTCACTATGTTGTAAAAATACGGAAAAGGCAAAAAAGATATACGACCAAACATTTAATTTAATTAACAGTAATTAGTAATCACCTTTATATAAAATATAAATGTTTGTACAAACTTGTATCCAACTAGGGTCGCAACTTCACAAGACAATATCACTGTCTGAGTTACGATACGATTATAATATCACATACGTAGATGAAAGTATCACCGACTTAGATGATAGTACCCGTTCATCTTTCGGTTCAAGTAAGTGTCCAAGACAGGATCAGTGTCTACTCTACACCTGTGTACATAGCTATTGGCTTTAAAATGTAGCAACCCGTGACGATCCGGGCTTTGAATTGGTCTTCAGCAACCCAATACAGATAGGACCATTGGGTTCGGGTGGTCAGCTCGCTGATTTGGGTGATGCATATCATCGAATCCCAAATGCGTAGATCGATGCTCGTGTTGCCATTCACTGGAGTATCTTGCTTAGACTCGATTATTTAAGGAACGCCGTCAAATAGCTGGAATATTGCTTAATGCGGCGTTATACTAAAATGAAACACAAGAAGGTAGTGTTAACTGCAAGCGTTTACGGTCAAAGGGAGTTAACTCTATATACCGAAAGTGATAACGAATGTAAACACTGTCAGTGTAGGGAAATTCTAATATTGCTAAGTGAGTGAGTGAGTACGGTTTTACGCCCCTTTTAGGAATATTCCAGCAATATGACGGCGGGGGACACTAGAAATGGGTTTCACACACTGTACCCATGTCGGGAATAGAACCCGAACCACTAGGCTACCCGACCGCCCAATATTGTTAAGTAATGGGGAAGTAATTGTAAGTGATCGAATGTTTGGTATATGTTGCTTGGTTATCTAATTAGGTTGTGATGATTGTAGAAACGGGAGTTTGTGTCTGGACCTTGAATAAACCAGTCGTGACGTGAAGAGCTGTGTTACGATCTCTAACTGGTGGCAGCTGTTACAGAACAAAAGGAGTGAATGAGTGAGTATGGTTTTACGCCGTTTGTAGCAATATTCCAGCAATATCACGGCGGGGGACACCAGAAACGGTCTTCACACATTGTACCATATCGGGAATCGAACCCGGGTCTTCGGCGTGACGAGCGAACGCTTTAACCACAAGGCTACCCCACCGCCCCAAAACAAAATGAAATAATGGTGGGTTGAACAGACTGTGTTGCCGATGTTGACATTGATGATTTTAACTATGATGCAGTTGCTCATGGGGGACAGCAGCGCATACGATCATAAGATAATCCCACAGTCTGACTGCAGCTTGTCAACGAGATTATGAACTTTAACTGGATTTGCTTAAAACAGGATTGTACAACAGTATAAATAGTGTTACAATCACTTGTTGTTAATATATACATTGTTCTTAACTATCTTGTACTTAGGTATCATTTAAACCTTATATGGTAAGTGTATTAATATGACAGAAAACGAAAGAAATACATGATAAACCATTTATTCATACTGAAGACAGAAATGGTGTGTACAACGTGGCATCTATTGGCAGAAATTGCTACATATTGTTCGTTGAGAGACAATTGAGATCACAGATGGTTCCTTGAGAGAGACATGGGTCACAGTGGGGTCACTCGCATTGATCACAGATTGTTCATTTAGAGATCTAGCGTTAGTCACAGATGGTTCAGGGAGAGACACCTCGGTCACAGATGGTTCTGAGAAAGCACTTACCACCATAGAAATACACATAGCCTTCTAGCTGAAGACGATGACCTTTTTGCCCACATATGCATATGGTCATATGGCAGTGTAATGTATTGTTAAACAATGATTGTAACTGTATTAAATTGTTTCTGTTGAGATTCAGTAGAAGTCCGTTGCATTGTATTTGAACAATGATTAGTTGTCAGGAATGTAGTACTATTAAATGTAAGTAGTGGCGAGGACGTTATTATATTTAGATGTTCGAATTATCTGTAAATTTCCGGTTGTCAAGCGTTTGAGAAACATGTGGAATATTCTGAGATGTTCTGGTGACACTGGACTGGTCACGCACTGTGTGGAAAGTGCTGGATGCCAGTTAAACTAATTACCCATTGGGCCACCGAGGCAGGTGATGAAGTAACGGTTCACTGAACACATGGTTTGAGACTACGCGCGTCGCCCACCTGTTGGCGCACGTGCAGTACATATTTTAATGAGAGTTAGACGAGCCCATTGTAAACAGGGGGTATAGGCATCAAATAAAAACGAGATATGTGTTAAATGACGTAGACATCTGAAGAGATGAGGGTCTATAAGTCGGTTCACGACCTCGATCTCGGTCTTGGTGGGTTGAGGGTCGATGGGGGTAGGCAGAAAAGTACCACATTGGGCCTATCCGACTGGTACTACTTTTGACCTATCGCTGCTCAGATCTTCCTATTCCAATCGTCCCTCGGTCAAGACCGAATTCATGGTTGTGAACGTTTAGATAATCTAAAATGAAGCCGTGTCTGGTGATGTCACTCAACCTGGAAACAGGTCATCCTGGCGGCGATGTGGGTGTTGGGGCTGGGGTTGGTGGTGACGACAACGAGGCTGAACCTCTCCGTGGCATAGTAGGCCGAGTTGTGGTACTCCTTCTCGTCCTCGGGCTGGACAAGCGTCAGGTATCTGGGAACACACAGCGGTATGTCATCAAGTCTCGTACTTGGTTTGTATTTTTTGTTGTTTCTTTGTTGCTTACGCCGCACTCAGCAATATTCCAGCTATATTACGGCGTCTGTAAATAATCGAGACTGGACAAGACAATCCTGTGATTGACATCAAGAGCATCGGTCCGCTCAAAATTGGGATACGATGACAGGCATCAATCAAGTCAGCAAGCCGATTCCGTTAGTCGCTTCTTGCGACAAGCATCGTCGCCTTTTACGGCAAGAATGGGTAGCTGAAGACCTGTTCTACTCCGGATGCTCGAATTTGTAGAAAAACCAGTCTCGTTTTTCCGCCTAAAAAGATGCCACTGAGCGTGAAAGGTTGGTTGGTTGGTTTGTTGTTTAACGCCGCACTCGGCAATATTCCAGCTATATGACGGCGGTCTGTAAATAATCGAGTCTGGATCAGACAGTCCAGTGATTAATATCATGAGCATCGATCCACGCAATTCGGATCGATGACATGCATCAACCAAGTCAGCGAGCCTGACCACCCGATCCCGTTAATCGCCTTTTACGACAAGCATAGTCACCTTTTACGGCAATCATGGGTTGCTGAAGACCTGTTCTACCCCGGAATCTTCACGGGTCGAGCGTGAGAGGCAAAATAGCAGTACATGTTCCATCAATGGATCACTGAAAGGCAGGGATGACACATGGTGTTCGCGAAAAGGGTAAGCGGATCCTGCTCAAACGGCAGCACCGCAACTCACACAATCAGCATTAAACGGTGAGCGATTGAGAGTGGTGATAAGTAGTTTCTACCTTTCATCCTCCAGCAGTGTCTTGTTCAGAAGGGAATCAAGCAAGTTCTTCTCAACGTCATTCAACCTCTCCACCTCTCCCATGTCACGTGAACCCATGTCCAGCACTAGTGGTTTGCCGAACCTGTACACAGATGACGAGGCGTTTACCGAGGTCACTACTGACTCAAATACAATTGAAATGTGTTATGTATACTCACTCAGGCACCGGCTGTAATATCACAGTCAACACTATTCCAGCTGTATGACGTCGGCCTGTAACATTTCGTGTCTGGACGAGACAAAGCAGTGATCAATATTATGAGTAACGTCCAACGCCGTCTGGTAATGATGACGCGCAATCGAACAAGTCACCGACTCTGACCACCCAGTGCTTCAGGAGACAAGCTTTCGTTACGAGACCTTCCGTTCTCCGGGTGGACGCTCTACCACTAGACCACAGAGGCGGACGGAAAAGTAACACATTGGTGTAACCGAGTCTGACTACCAGGTACCTCGCGAGACAAGCTTTGTTTGCTGAAGATTCATTCTAACACCACGTGGGAGCATGGACTGAACAAAGTCTACTTTAATAATAGAGTCTAGTTTTTCAGCCAAGCACGAACTGCCCCAATCCTACTTTATTGGCTGATCTGCGTCCATATACCTGCAATTATGTGTCTTATCTTACCTACCATTCAAATACTCGATTCATTTTGGTTACTGCACGAGCAGTTTAACCTTTTACCACTGACAGATAAGGTACAAATTTCACATAGAAAGCTGGTAAATGCCGAACTGCGTCCCAAAGCGAATACAATTATATGATTATACTATTTCAGAGCAGAACACCTATAAGATGCAGTTTAGCGAATAAGGGCGCATTACCCGGGTTACAATCTTTTATGTCGTCTACCAGATGACAAGATGTCCGTGAAACGGGTTGCGAGAAATACTGATGTTGACACAATATTTATAGAAAAACACGCCTTGGGGTTTTGGTTGCAATTGTATTTTGTATCTTTGTTGAAAATGTATTTTCAACCAAAACCGAGGAGGCGTGTTTCTACCGACTTATAATCCATCGAAACAACATTTATTAATATTATGTGTACAAGTGCGTTACGACAGTCTACAGTAACGTTAGTAAAATATATCTGGCCAGGAAATATTGGCTAAGCGTGGCGGCGTCAATTGAGCCACTGTCTTCAATAGGTTCTGTCGTCGAATGGTTGCACATCTTCCCGAGGCAAGAGAGTTAACTGACTATACATGTCCAGTTTGCACCCTTGCCGAACTAGGTTGGAATTCGAGAGTTACATGGACTAACGAGTCTATGCATTGTCCAATCAAAACCACGCAACGAAATCGAAATCCGGTTCGGAAACTGTGGTGCAGATTTCGGTCGCTTGCAGAGTTTGCAATGAATATGAACTGCCAACTCGCTGTCAACAGATATTTTCCAGATCTTTTCATGTTTTTAATCACGGTACTCGCGTGATTTGATGCACTTCGCGATGTAAGACCGTTTTATCGCAATATAGATCTTGATTATCGATCAGATCGTCTTGACTGGGCGGCGCCATTTTGTTTGAAACAAATGCAAGCGATACGAGAGGTCGAATCTGATTGGTCCATAGGAGAGGCTTAGAAGGGACATAACTGGTAATAACCGCTGGTGGCGCTACGATCGAGCCCAGGAATTCTAGCCTAGTTCGGCAAGGGTGGAAACTGGACTTTTAAAGTCAGTTAACTCTCTTGCCTCGGGAAGATGATGGTTACAGTGTCTGACTACTGATCAGAATGTTGTGAATTCGGCTCCCCTCGTCCACGATGAAACATGTTCAAGTCGCCGATTTTAGAACATTGGACGTTTGAAACACCAAGTCCAAACTTCATCTGCTTCCCAACTCATGCCGAACCAGGAAAATATAAAACCCCATGTCCGAATTTAACTAGAAAAAGTGAAACCCCTTAAAAGGTTAACTTAAGAACACGTAATGGTAAATATCCGTGATAGGGTTATTACAAACAGGCGGAAATTATACATGTAGGATAGAACCGCTGTCCACCGGTTCCGGGCTATTTTGATTCACAAACGGGACTTCATCCCCTCCAGACCAGTAGGCAAATGATCAGGTCACAACTTGTTATTCTATCTGTTTGCAGGTCGGGTATTCCCTTTCTATGCTAGACCGCCTCCGTGGTCTAGTGGTAGAGCGTCCGCCCGGAAAGCGGAAGGCGCAGGGTTCGATCCCAACCGCGTCATACCAAAAGACGTTAAAAGATGGTACTTGTTGTTACCCTGTCTGACGCTCGGCATTAAGGGGCTAAAGCAAGGACTGGTCGGCTCGGAGACAGTATACTGTGTCTGAGTGGGGTATTCATGTTAAACTGCGGCATGGTATCTCAGTGAGCTAGCACTATAAATCGGCATCAGTCCGGACTAGTACAAGCAGCCACACACACACACACACACACACACACACGTGCATGCACGTCGCTATATAAGTGCAATAATCTTGGACGCGACGTTAAACCCCATTTCACCTCACCTTTCTATACTAATTTACCCCAATAACATTCACGAACTTGGTGATGGCTAGATCACCTATGAGTGAGTGAGTTGGTGTTTTCGCCGCTCTAAACAGTATTTAGTTCTCCTAGCACACGTTTCTATATGACTTACCTCAGCGCACCTATCAGTGCTACCCTGAGTTTATCAACACTCAGGTCACCTGGAAGCTCAGCCTGCAGGACGTTAGCATCGCGGTATTTGAAGAAGGTGGTCACGTTTCCCTGGAGGTCAATTATGAGGGGCCATCTGAAACACGCCAGTAAAACATTAAATTAACAAGAGTGTGAAATTAATGCGAACAATGCGAGGGTCCCTTGGTCGTATTAATTAAGTGTCAATATTTAACGCATGAGTGAGTGAGTATGGTTTTACGCTGCTTTTAGCAATATTCCAGCAATATCACGGCGGGGGACACCAGAAATGGGCTTCACACATTGTACCCATGTCGGGAATCGAACCTGGGTCTACGGCGTGACGAGCGAACGCTTTAACCACTAGGCTACCCGACCGCCCCTTTAACGCATGAAGTCACGTCATGTTCATTGCACATACTTGAAACTGTTATATAACCCACATTTCAAGGCTAACAAACAGTGCAGTTTAGTGCCAGGCCAAGTGTTTCTCATTGGTTTGTTTGCTTGTTATTTTAGAAATTCAGCAATATTCCAGCTATGTGATTGAGGTCTGTAAACAATCGAGTTTGGGCCAGACAATCTAATGATTGAAATCATGAGCATCGATTCACGCAATTGAGATACAAATGAGATGCCTCAACCAAGTCAGCGAGCCTGACCACCCGATCCCGTTAGTCGCCTCTTCCGACAAGCATTGTCGCCTCTTACGACAGGCATACGTTGCTGAAGACCTATTCTACCCCGGGTCTTCACAGTTTTTTTCTCACTGGTACTGTGTCAAGTGTGGCCAAACTTTGTATTCACAAGAACACTGCGTTTCAATTGGTGCATCTTACTTGTTGGGATCCTTGCGGTTGGCTTCTTCTGCCAGCGTACTGAGTCCCTTCAGACTGATTGTCGTCACCGGCGGCATGGGTGGAGGGGCGGCTGATGCTGATGCGGATGCTGATGCTGATGCCTCACCTGGAGGAAGAATGGAAAAATCGTCTTAAGAACAAACAAGAAATAGTTCCACCTGGAGAACCACAATTATAACCACCCACAGTCCGAGGACAAAAGCAAACTGCTCAGCCTTGGGAAATTGTGTTAGTTTGTTTAACGCCTTTGCAGCAATAGTTCAGCTGTACGACGTCGGCCTGCTAATAGCTGTCAGCGAATAGTGGAGCCTGTGGGATAGTGTACAAGCACAAGAAAATAGGAAATCAGCAATCTCGTTTCTTCTTAACTCTGAAACGCTAATCTAGGATACTCTAATCTAACCTTTTTGGATCCCTGCTTTCTTTTCCGGGGTTTTGGTGGTGGTACCTTTGGAGGTGACAGGTTTAGACGGCGTTTTCGAAGTGGAGACTTTTTTGGGCGGCATGTTTGCGTTGTGACAAGACTAGCTACTGTCAAATGTCTCAAGCCAAATGTCCAGCATGGTGGTCGTAACCATAGCTGCGCACAAACAGTTGTATTGGATTTAACACACTTCAATGCACTCCAGTGAACACCGAGGTCAATCACGGGGCTTAGCTATTGCCCGTGAAAGGGTGTACCGATACATTACCAGCAAAAAGCGTATTACATGTCAATGCACGTTATACTTAAGACAATCAATCGTTCCTGGTGTAATATTGCTCTTGTCATCTGGATTAATTCATTTTGAGGACGAACACTTCTCAACATCCAATTGTGTGTATACTTATTTGATACAAGGGCATAACTATACAAAATTATCAATGGTTATTGTTACGGAGCATTATTGTTTTTCCTTCTTGGTAATGGGTTTGCTCGTTCCAATTCTATCATTAAGAGCCTCCATGTTAATCGAATTGACATATTTTGGAATATTTTGTAGCAGCGTGAAATGTTTCATTATTGTTGTTGACGGACAGTTATCTTTATCTGCAGACTTACACATTTTCAATCAGTTTAAAGCCTACGTACAAACTACAGTCAACTACGGTTATAACGAACACGCTTATAACAAACTGACGGATATAACAAACTCACTTTTTGGTCCCGACTATTTGCTGTAGTTATGCTGTATATATGCCTATAGCGAACTACGGTTATAACGAACTAAAAATAGTAGTCCCTTTGAGTTCGTTATAACCGTACTTTACTGTAAGTACATCATTCAGAAGAGATGTGATGGAGGTACTTATAAACAAATCGTTTAGTTAAACATGCAAAGCAAGTTTTGTTCGTTTGTTGTTTAACACCGCACTCTGCAATATTCCAGCTATCTGTCGGCGGTCTGTAAATAATCATGTCTGGACCAGACATTCCAGTGATTGATATCATGAGCATCGCTCCACATTATTGGGATCGATGACATGCATCAATCAAGTCGGCGAGCCTGACCACCCGATCCCTATAGTCGCCTTTTACGACAAGCATAGTCGCCTTTTACGGCAAGTACTACCCCGGATCTTCACGGGTCTCCACATTATTGGGATCGATGACATGCATCAACCAAGTCAGCGAGCCTGACCACCCAATCCCGTTAGTCGCCTCTAACGATAAGCATAGTCGCCTTTTACAGCCAGAATGGGTAACTAAAGTTCTACCCAGGATCTTCACGGGTGCGTAAATCAGTAAAGTCCTCCACTGGCATGTAAACATGCTGTAGCTCCACCCAGAACTATGAGAGTCAGACGTCTGGTAAGGGTTGTCGTAATCTGAATCAGCGACTGAGGATGGCCTTGTCTTTTTGAGTGGAGGGACTGGTCGTTCTGAAAGTCACACAGATGCTCTTGTTGGCGTACAGTAAGTAGTAATCCTTGCCGCTGTCTTGATGGAACATAGTGTCAGCGTTCTGCTGCAGAAAAGGACAAAGGGAAAGCACCAATTCGATATAGCGTCAGGCTGGCGTCACAAAAGATCAGATTTGTTGTGACGTGTTCTGACCATGCCCCAACAGCTCGAACTCTTCAGGTTTACAGTATTCAAGCTCTTAGTTACGCTATAAAAAATGTGTTTGTTTGTTTGCACTATTCAAGCTATATGACGGCGGTCTGTAAATAATTGAGTCTGGACCAGACAATCCAGTGATTAATATCATGAGCATCGATCCACGCAATTGGGATCAATGACATGCATCAACCAAGTCGGCGAGCCTGACCACCCGATCCCGTTAGTCGCCTTTTACGACAAGTATGGTCACCTTTTACGGCAAGCATGGGTTGCTGAAGACCTATTCTACCCCGGAATTTTCACGGGTCGCTTCATACATGTATTAAGTGATGTAAATGTTATGTTACAACAAACACACTGTCAAAACCCATCAAGTTAACAGGAGACAGAGGGACACGCCCCAATAGGGTGGTGGTGTTAGAGATCCATGAACAATGTCAATATCAGGTCTGGCCACCATGAAACCATGAGCATCGATCCACGCAATTGGGATCGATGACATGCATCAACCAAGTCAGCGCGCCTGACCACCCGATCCAGTTAGTCGCCTTTTACGACAAGCATGGGTTGCTGAAGATCTTTTCAGACACTCCAGTGATTATCATCATGAGCATTGATCCACACCTTTGGGATGCGATGACATGCATCAACCAATTCAACAAGTCGGCGATCCTGACCACCCGATCCCGTTAGTCGCCTCTTACGACAAGCATAGTCGCCCTTTACGGCAAGCATGGGGCACCGTTGCTGAAGAATACATTTTGCCCAAACTGCTGTCACATCTCATGTGAACATAAACATGTACAAATATTCTTATGGGTAAGAGACTCAAATAACAAATAACCAAAAGAACGTCGTGGTGAATGTATCTTAATGAAGCAAACAAAAATAACAAACATAACTACAAGAGAAGAGAGCAGCTGAATAAACTAGAGTCTAACATATAATTTTCTAGATATTATATGCCTGTAAAAGAACAGTTGTTTCAGATTTATTGGTTTATCTAAAATATAATACAATATTAGTTCAATGCATATATGTCTTACACTAAGGCATATAATATGCGAACATCATCTATTTCCTGTCGTCATAGATACTGGATTTAAAATTAATATGCAATATAGTCCACGCCCCTGACGCACTCTGTGGGTGTAATTACATGAAGATTGCATTTTTAAGCAAAACCAGGGAGAATTAATTTATTTTTTTTGTTCTTTAACGCCGCATTCAGCAATATTCCAGCTATATGACGGCGGTTTTGTAAATTATCGAATCTAGACCAGACATTCCAGTGATGAATATCATGAGCATCGATCCACGCAATTGGGATCGATGACATGCATCAACCAAGGCAGCGAGCCTGACCACCCGATCCCGTTAGTCGCCTTTTACGACAAGCATAGTCGCCTTTTACGGCAAGCATGGGTTGCTGAAGACCTAATCTACCCCGGATCTTCACGGGTCTCCACACAATTGGGATGCGATGACATGCATCAACAAGTCAGAGAGCCCGACCATCCGTTCCCGTAAGTCACCTTTAACTGCAAGTATGGGTTTCATCTGGAGCTTCACGGGTCTGTTACAATGACTAAATTCTACGGTTGATTCGTTATTATCAACATCGTCCCTAGCACAATGATAGTATTAACCGATCCTCTATATGTCAGTCAGTAAATGGCCACATAATGAATATTCATTTGTTTGTCAGGTATTCTGTCATTCCTCATTTCTAAAGATTTTGGCATAATTGTAATAATGTTTAAATCAATAGCTTTGTAGAGAAGGTAACACCACAGTGCAGAAGCAAAAGCCGTTAAAAAATATGCGGTACACATCTTAAGCACTAGCCTGAATACGATATGAACCCCAGAAAACAGACATCATGCTAAAAAATATAAAAAAGCAGAGCTGATATAGGCTCCAACTGCATCTAGCAATGACCAAGCTTTTTGTGCAATTACTGTTACAACTGTGTTCATTATTCTCCTTGCTATATACTTGACAATATCATCAACATTAAATTGCTTCAAGTGAACACTGATGGGCTCATCTTTGCTTGGTACCCTAGCCTTATCTGTGGTCTGTTCCCTTAACTTTTTCCTAGCAGTTTCAAAGAACTCATTGTTGTAGGGTTCGTTTTCGTTTTCTTGAAGACAAGCATCAATCATCTTAATTAATCTAACTTGGACATGTCTGATACCAAAGGGACAAAAAGCTTTATTATTTACAATCATATAACGGTGTCTATTATGTGTTAATATCCTTTCCAAGAATGTATCTTGATACACCATTTGTCTGAAATCGTCCTCACTGCCTCTATAAGAATCTCCATGGGTAAAAATAACAATTGAATATCTGAAAAAGACATTGTCATCATCAAGTGCAGATGCAAATGACAGAATAGCTTTCTTCTCCTCTTCTGATATACGTGCAACTACACTGAAGACAAGGACGAAAGCATGGTAACCATCAGGGCTTAACGCAATATAAGAGCCTAAATCACGGAATTCCTCTTCATTTGTTTTAGTTATTGTTTTTAAAGAAGTTGTATCAACCACGCTGATGTATCTGTCTCCAATGCGAGAGGTTGCCATTGTCGCCTCTCTGGTTACTGGGCTCATAGAAGATCGAGATTCAAACACATCATAGCCAAGAATCAGGTTTCCGAGGGAACTTTTTCCATTGCCTGATTTCCCAAGAAGAAGAATTCTTAACGGAGGCCCATCAGGAGGCGTTGACAAGATGCCCAAGGCTTCCTGCAAACGAAAACCGAATTGTGCAAGGCTACATCGTGAGATAGACGTTTCGAGATATAGGGACTACTTGGTGCTACTTAATCACAATAATAATTGACAGCTGCATAAAGGCAGAATCCATAGTTCTTAAAACCTTTTTCAAAATTCACATTGAGAATAATATGACGAGGTACACTTAGATTGTATTTACGATGACACGACGGACGTACTGTGTATAGAATTTTAATAGAGTAATGCAAGCAATTGTCAGTCTTTCAGTGGGTGATGGGGGTTTAACGCCGTCTTGAGTAGGATCACAGCCATATTTCGCGCGTCCGTTTTATATGCGTAGAAAGTCCAAAGTGGCACAGGGGTTAGTATGACTTTGATGTAATGCGACGTCTGATATAAAGCTAATAACACAGGTAGAAACTTGGACTAAGCGGGACCTCTCACAGCTGAGGGACGCACTCTACACCAAAATAGCGGACACTTAGACAATGGGGTTATCCGTGCCCCTTTCTCGATTATCCAGTGTGTAATATCCCCATTGTGTTATGATAATAAAGTAAATATCGTGGACCCATTCACAGCAATAACTTCGATTTGAATTCATTGTCAATGACACAACACTACAAGTAGTCATCTAATTAAATTATACAGTTCCTTCACGATTTGTACAAACAGCACCTTGTTACGTTAATGTCAGCATCAGTACGTCCCTCAGTAACATGGGCCTGAGTTGCCTCCATATCAAACATTCCCATTGCCCTTTCTCTCTGTTCCAATGTTAATCGAGGCATGACCACTTTTGGCTACTGGATGTGCCGATGCCAAAAGAACATATTCGTACCCGTTGTATACCAGATTTCCAAACGGGTATTTATTCAATGGTTGTACCTTTTTCCGAGCACTAGGCACATTTTCACACCAAGCAAGTGCATTTTGGGCATGTCAGTTACAGAAATTAATAAGCTGCGTTTAGGCGATACATTTTATTCTATATTAAAGGTCTTTTGGACACTAGTTGAAAATATATTTTAAAATATATTTGAGGTGACTTTTCTTATGTCCGTGAGTTTATACCAATATGTAAATTAGATGATGGGATGAAATGAATGGCTGGGGAAACTAGAATCCAATCTGACCAGTTCTTTACACCACGATTTATTTTCAATTAACAAATATATTTGTTCTCTTTATATTTAACTTCGACCAAACATGAGACTTGTCTTTCTGAGCGACGAAAGACTGATTTCGAGTTATATGGTATGAACATATAAAATGAAAATGCAATCATGAATTATCCTTTTATTATTATCCCCTGAAAAAAACTCCACTCGAGACACAAATGTAATATAAACTAAGCGGCAAAAGAAAGTATAGGTTGGCAATTTGTAATTTTCCTAAAAACAGCGATAACTAGTGGAAAGTGGGTATTGGGAATATGACTGCCCAGGAACAGATACCAAAAACACCTCACCAGAACGCGCCACCTTTGACGGCTAGTGCGGTGGCAAAAAATGGTGAAACAGGTTTCCCGCCTATGGCATAAACTGCATGTGCATGTAAGCTGTATAAATGCGTTCGTCTGCAGGGTATAACCACACGTGATGAAAGCACACAAAAGAAATGCTACCACTGTCACAGGAGCAGAGAGAGAGCACCTTGTTACGTTAATGTCAGCATCAGTACGTCCCTCAGTAACATGGGCCTGAGTTGCCTCCATATCAAACATTCCCATTGCCCTTTCTCTCTGTTCCAATGTTAATCGAGGCATGACCACTTTTGGCTACTGGATGTGCCGATGCCAAAAGAACATATTCGTACCCGTTGTATACCAGATTTCCAAACAGGTATTTATTCAATGGTTGTACCTTTTTCCGAGCACTAGGCACATTTTCACACCAAGCAAGTGCATTTTGGGCATGTCAGTTACAGAAATTAATCAGCTGCGTTTAGGCGATACATTTTATTCTATATTAAAGGTCTTTTGGACACTAGTTGAAAATATAGTGGAAAGTGCGTATTGGGAATATGACTGCCCAGGAACAGGTACCAAAAACACCTCACCAGAACGCGCCACCTTTGACGGCGCTAGTGCGGTGGCAAAAAAATGGTGAAACAGGTTTCCCGCCTATGGCATAAACTCATTAAACTGCATGTGCATGTAAGCTGTATAAATGCGTTCGTCTGCAGGGTATAACCACACGTGATGAAAGCACACAAAAGAAATGCTACCACTGTCACAGGAGCAGAGAGAGAGAGAGCCATCAGTAGGGCTGAAATAGGGGCAACACATGTCCAAATTGCCAGAAGGTTTAGTTGTACACCATTGACAGTAGCCAGGCTGATTCAACGGTACAGACAGACAGGGAGGACGCAGGACTGGCCTAGAACCGGACGACCTTGAGTGACACCACTGGAAGACGGTCAGATACGGCTCATTCACCTGTGAAACAGATTCGTAACGGCGACGGCGACGGCAGCAACAGCCCATTAGCCAACGTACAGTACTACGACGACTTCGTGCTGCTGGAATCCGAACGTATCTTCATTTTATAGGAATGGAACTGACTGCTCAACATCAACGCCTGAGACTGTGATGGGCGAGGCAGGTTCGACGCTGGCAAGTGAAAAAATGGCGTCGAGTGCTGTTTACTGATTGAAGTCAGGCCCCATACTGCAAGACTGACTCGGAACTTTCTAAACCAGCAGAACGTTGACGTATTGCCCTGGCCTGTCCACTCACCCGATATGAATCCTATATAACATCTGTAGGACCATCTTGACAGACAGATTAGAGCACGCCATCAGCCTTCCGTCAACAGACAAGAACTGCAGCAGGCCCTCAGAGACGAGTGGCAACGGATTCATTTCCACGTCATCGATGAGGCGGCATTTCACAGCATGCATTGAGGCAGCTGGAGGTCATACACGCTATTGAAGGCAACTGTGTCGACAATGAACTTGTAGTGTGTCTGACAATTTTTTGGTGACATTTCAGACAACTTTTGAAAATGAAATTTCTTACCCCACCAGTGTTTACCTTGAGCTTACATTACCTGTGATTGCACAATTTCATTCAACCTGTGGTTGATCAATCATTTGTTACCCCTCCCTATATAATATTATAATTCACAACAAAACCTCTATTTTTTTATCGATCCTGGAACTCGACCAAAACTTTCTTTTGTTTACAATGATACAACTTACCAGAGTCGACTCTTTTGCCAAAAGGTGATACACTACGGAAATAACCACAGCCATCACAACCGTCATTACTGCAGAGGACAACATCTTGCTCTGAAAAGTACAGAAAACTGTGGACAGTAGGGCTGTTTCGCTGCACTGAATGTCGGAAGATATCTTGAGGTGGCGTTTCAGAAGTGGTAGTATTAATAAAGCTAACCTGCTTGACATGGATTTATTGATCCAGGTTGTTTAGTTGCATCGTCACAGCAAAAAAAATGCAGTTTCCGGTATCCGGATACCTGCCGGATACCACCGGACACTTACCCAAAACGCGTCCGGGTATCCGGTGTCAGATACCTTGCCGGATACCAGATCCGTGGTATCCGGCATGGACACCTCACCTGAAAGTATGCCACCTGGAATCCGGGTATCCGGCACCGGATACCTCACCGGATACCTCAATCTGGGTGTCCAAGGATCCGCACCGGATACCAAGAATCCGGCACCGGATACCTCATTCTGAGTTTCCAAAAACATGTCACAAGTTGGGGGTGCATTTTGTTCAATTAAGTGTGAAACACCTAAATATATATTGGAAACTAACCATGAAAATTGAACATTGCTGAAGGTATCCGGCAGGTATCCGGCAGGTATCCGGATGCAATTTTTCGAGATGTCTTATTTCTGGTAAATAATGTTAGCCTGGGCATATCAGATAGCTGTAGTAATATTCTGTGTCATTTTAGTTGTAAATATCCCCTTAAAGTTGAGATCTATGGGCATGTACTTTTGGAGAAGACAATATTTTTCAATTTCATCTATAATTCGTTTTAGATGTTAAGCTGTTAATGCACAAACATCAGTTCTAATACATGTATGATGATATCCTTAAATTTCATGTTCAGACTTCCAGATTATTCTGAGTGAAAGTATAAACTCATCGACTGTGTGCTCACTTGGGCCTTTGGTCCTAGTGAGATGATAATATGATTATTTGTAAAGGTACAAGTACTTGTTATGAGCATACCAGCTTCATTTAAGTTTGAAACACAATATGCCTCACTCTGAGGGTGACATGTACCAGATTTCATCACACTACAGAGAGCTGTTCCTCAGTTACTGTGAACATTTTTACTGAAAGACATTGAAAGCTAATTTGACCTTCAATATCAGTTGCGACTATTTCAAAAACAATTGTAAAGTGCTTCATTCAGTGTAATATTGACAAACATATGACAATGATATACAACTATGTGTATAAGAGTTATTTAGACTTCTGCGGGAAAAGGCACATTAGAGAACAAGAGTCATCAGAAAGATGACATATCCCCCCGGCAGCTGTCTGTAAAGTAACCACTAGTGCATTTCTGTATGTAATGAGTCAACAGTTGAATGTTCTTTAAGAAGCATACATTGTTTACCCACAAAAGATCCACCATGGTCGCATCCATATGAATGCCAAGTTTCGACCAAATACATTGAATGTTTTTCGAATTCTGCCCCAGAAATGAACCTCATCCCCAATTGAGTCTATGTCCAACTTGATTCCATTAAAAAAAAAAAATTAAAAAAAATGAGAAAAATCCCAAAATTTGAAAGGCACCACTTCAGTATGTGCATGATAGCTTTGCCAAGTTTCGATCAAATACACTGAATGGTTTTCGAATTCTGCCCCGGAAACAAACCCCATCCCCAATTGAGTCTATGTCCAACTTCATTCCATAAAAATTTAAAAAAATAAAAATTAGAAAAATCCCAAAATATCAAAAGGCACCACTTCAGTATGTGCCTGATAAGAGTTGCCAAGTTTCGATCAAATACACTGAATGGTTTGGGAATCCTGCCCCGGAAAAGGAAATGATTACGGACGGACAGACGGACAGACAGGCTGATCACTATATCCCCCGTATTATATGCCGGGGGATAAAAAGTAAGTGTATGACCTGTTGCCAACTTCTATCCCTGCCCTAAGGAAGAGTTTGGCCATTAACAATTTTTTTGTCTGGCTGTGACATTGACCTTTGACATAGGAGATCAATGTGTTATTCCAAAGATGTCCAAGCAATGCATGGTTTTATACGATAACTGTGGCTATCAAACTGAGGCAAAATATTGGAAAATCCCCATTTACACAGCTGGCTAAAGAAACAAACAACAAACAAATTATCAATTTCTTTTATTTATATGCATATATCACACATTGAACAGTGTTCATATAATGGTTCCTGATGCAGTATGCACTTTCCTCCTATTCTTCAATACTCATAACAGCGCGGGATAACTGTTCGCTTGAAAGCATCAGCAGACCATGCTCACCAGTTCAGAGTTACTTGCCCTCAAACATCCTTTTCCTTCTATATTGCCATGGAAAAACAGGAACCAGGATGAGGGGAGGCCAGATGGGCTCTATCCCTGTTGCATTGTGTTAGTAGAATTGTGAACATTCTATTTGGTGTTTGGGTCCACATTTATAGACAAGTAGTCGCAAACATCATTCCTTTCAAGTGATTACCACATGGCCAAAGACAATAATTTCTTCAACGTCCTTGAAGGATCCCACTCCGACTTGGCATTGGTTGGTCTTCTCACATTTGCCTGACCACCCTTTGTGAGTGTGTCCCAGTGTCAATTGGCATATAACTTCTCGGTAGGCTCCCATTGAAATAACAGGACTCTCCTCATCGCTGTCTGCCAATCACTTCGGATATCTGGAAGGGTCCTTCCAGACTGTCAACCTGTCATCCGGGTATCTCAAGCTGGACTTCAGTTTCTGCAAAATTATGTATAAAGATTGTAGCAAAAGAAAAGAATTGTTGCAACATGTACTTACAGATAAAAGGCAGCAAATTCACTTAATTTATCATCTTTCAGTTTTGTTATATACCAAACATTTGAGATATATATTGTTCCATGCTGATGAGTTGAAACAATCATTAACTGACATCTCTTAAAAATGTTCCTAGCAACCTATGCTTGCCATACAAGCCAAAGTAATAGATGAGGTAGCAAGTGGGCTCATTGATCGCTCGTAATCGTACCCAATAACATGGGATGTTGTCCTTAACAGTCATCATCGGTGCTTCTGGATCGAGCTCATAACATTAATCTCTGGTTTGTCTAGTTGAGATTTGAGATTTGATTAATTTATAATCCTTGTCATTTAGCCGAACTATTGCTGGATGTGGTGTTAAATGAGTGAAATGGGTTTAACGCCTCTTTGAACAGTATTCCAGTTATATCACGGCATGTAAGCTTGATGTGGGAAGAAAGCCCGAAGTGATGCAGGTCTTACATGTTTACCACTTTGATGAAACCCACAAGCAAGTGTATGATGCTACCCTCGATTCAAACCCACGACCATCGGTTTCTGTCAAGCCCAAGAGATGCAATTATGCACAGCAAGTTGTACTGCCTTTGATAATTAGGCCATCCATGCCAACAGGTGATAAAGAACAAGCAAACTGAAGAAATATTTGCAGAATAGCTACATGGACCAAACAGAATAATTTCAAATATTTACCACTCACTGCTACTCTTCTCTTGTTCCTCATTACTTCCCTTTTTCCATTGATGCTGTGCAGATGACTGACTCATTCATTCATCCAGACATTCTGCAAACATAAGTAGCATTCACATTAGAGAAATGTCCAAACTGTACATGCTGTACATTGAATTCAATTGAAAAGGCCCCAGTTGAGTTTCCAACTTAGAACTGTCCTTATTAAAATATTTCATCCCAAACATTCAGAGATAAAACATAACCCCATATTTAACAACTGTCAAACAATTATTTGACAACAAAGCCAGGGTCATTCAACATACACTTTACATAAGGAATCACTTGTTACAAAAAAGATCATCGCCAAGGTCAGAGTCATTCCATGAAATATTGAATGATTAAGTTATGAAGCTTATACAAAACAAGGACATAACAGTGTAATTATAACAATATCCTAAGCGTAAAAAAAATAAAGTCTTTGGTGGCCAATATTGTAAATTATAATCTGTATTAGCATCCCACGAAAGTTAAGAGTTAATAATCGTTCCTAGATCTTGGTACTTTTCTTCATTATCTATAAAAAAGCGGATCTAATTTGGATCATCTTGTTTTGACCACAAATCCATTACACCTCTTATGCTAACAAACAGTTGACCATAATACTTAAAAAAGGACCCTTGGCGTTTACGGTAAAGTATGTAGAGCAGGAAAATATCTACATCAACCCGTTCCATAAGATCTCTGCACAGAAATCATAAGGCCTCGAAGCCCTGCTACGTACCTGGCAATGCCAATCGCCTTTCCAAATACTGTTGACTTCCGCGTTGTGGATGGCTGAGAGGAACTTCGGCCGGCATTTCCGTGGTGGAGGTGAATGAGAACAATGTATCGATACACGAGGTAAGCTTATCGTAATCAAGAATCACAGTGTATATCGATACACGAGGTTTGTTTACATCCATGTTCTAAAATGGCGCCCTGGACCGTAGGGGAATATGGGTAAAATGGCTTGTTCCGGGTTAACACTAAGCTGGGCCCCGTCTCTAATATCACATTATTGTTTGACGCAAGTTGGCGACGCGCATAGGGAGCCGGGAACCAGGTTAACACGACATAAGCTGGTCCCCGGCTCTCTATGCGCGTCGTCAACTTGCGCCAAGTTATATTAGAGACGAGGCCCAGCTTATACACTGAACACGATCGGTCATTTCGTCAAAACTGGCCAAATATTGAGATTGCAGCTGAGGTCATGCTGGCAGCTGAAGTGACACATTAAGGTAAGGAATATGTGAATATTACAATGATCACGTATTAAAGTAATTTACCACATGTAAGCCTGTCACATGTGACACATTAACTTTTATAGCCAACATGTAAGTAAATGTATGATTATATTTTTATATGACAAGTAGCCTGTCTATCATATGTTAGTATATGCTTATGTATATAATGTAGAAATATGTTTACTTTAACTGGATAATTTGTATGCTAATGTGACTCACTGTCTTATTTCATATACTCCCTGTACTCTGTGAGAGTGATTAATAGCCTCAACATATTTTTCCAGATGTGAAGAATCAAGAACAGCTTTAATGACAGGGAAGTTTTGCATCAGAGATCATCGTGAAGTGGAAGAAAAGACATTTTAAGGGTATGAACATTTTCACTTGAACTAGTTGAACAATAACCATGATGACAACTTTATCATGGGGGAATTTTTGGTGGTGGGGTAGCCTAGCGGTTGAAGCGTTCACTCTTCGTGCTGAAGACCCAGGTTTGATTCCTGCCACATAGCTGCGATATTGCTGAGTGTGGTGTTAAACATCAAACAAAGCTAACAGCCGCATACTTACTCACGTGGGGATTCCAGGTTGAAGTAAGTCCCCATCAACATGATCAACCTATGCTAGTTGTGAGAGATAACTTAATGGATCGGGTGATCAGCCTCCCTGACTTGGTTGATCCATGTCATCGTATCCCAATTGTGTGGTTCGATGCTCATGATGTCAATCACTGGATAGACTGGTCCAGACTTGATTATTTACAGACCGCCGTCATATAGCTGGAATATGGCTGAGTGCAGAGTTAAACAACAAACACCAACATGATTCTACAACATGCTCTTGTGGATACCATTTTGAAGATCCTACACATAACTTCTTTTCGGGTCTTAACTATTGCAATATGTTCTACTACATGTGTTTTAAACATTTTTTTTTTTTAAAGTGAACTGGATTTGCAAACAAGCCGATGGCTTATCTAAATGATGCTGAAATACAAAATAAGTATTAATAAAATACTAATTCTATACTATTGCAAACTATCAGTTGAGCAATAATGTAATCATCTGATTATAAGTAGATAATGAAGGAGAAGTCCATATTGATTAAATGTACCAGATTCTGAGATAAATGCACGTATTGATTGATTTATTTCAATGTTTTCCTGTACATAATTTTCAACAATTCCATATAAAGCTTTCTTATATCATATCCATGCTGTATCATAATACCTATTATTTCTAATAATAGCATAATTTGGACACACAAATAAGTAATGAATGGTATTTTTATAACAGGTCCCACACATGCGGGATAGGTCATTTGACATGAATCAGTTTTATGTGAATTTAAATCACTACAAGCTGATCTGAGTCATGAAAGGATATGCCTTCGATTCTGTGAAAATGGAAATGCTAAAACATCTCCCAATATTAACCATGCTAATACAGAATCTGTTCACTTGTTTTTGTATGTAAAATATTTTTGAAGGATTACATCCATTTAATGATTGTTTGTATGTGTGATATGCCAGTAGAGGTATATGTGTACAAGCATGTGCATACACATAAAAAACAATTATGTTTGTTTGGCTAGGTACCAGTATATGAATAGGTTGTTTAGTGCGACTTGTATATTAGCATCATCATAGTTTCAACAGACAGTTTATGTATATCAAATGTTAAATGTCTTTGTAGGGAGAATTGCATATCAAAACTGTCATTATTTTATTACTTATGAGTAGAACTTTTTAAGTATCTGGCATGATACATTTCCTTGGTCCACAGACACATGTTACCAGTAAACTGACTTGATAAGTAGCATAACAGTCAGTGTGGTTGGAAACTAATTAAGCCGTCACTACTCAATTAAGTAATTAACAGACAAATGCAAGTGATAATACCCACCTGACACTAATTGCCCTGTTAATCCCTAATCCACCATGAGTTGACATTGCGCTCATCTTGCTAATGAGCTGTTGTGAGCGTAACGAGATGATAAACATCAAAGGTGGGGCAGGCTTTGATCAAGTGTTCTGTAGAAGAGATTATGTCACTTGTTTAATGTTTATTTAGGATTAGCTACATCCCTTGATGCGACCAAGACCATACTTGAGGTTATCAGACAGTTTGTCTGGATACAGCCTGATGTCTCAACTGTACTTATTGGATTCTGCCTTGTAGCAAACTATATGTGTGACAAGGACTTTGACCACTCTGTGCAGATGCATAACAATGCATAATGAACTTGGGGTATGATTCAATTATGTCACACAAGTCAAAGATAGGTTCCACTGTATTTAGAAACAGACGATAGATGCAATACTGTGTAACTTTATAACAATCAAATGATTTACAATTACCCTTGAAAAGTTCCCAAACCAAATAGAACTACTTAAATTATGATTACACTTGACCAATATATTTGGCAGTTTTTGCCGTTATTGTTAATCTGAATTAAAGATAGGATAAATGATAAAAATATCATAATGCATATCACACACAAGTGTGTATTATACGCAAATAAATAAGTCTTGTATACATTGATTAATTGGAAAGGGTCCTAATTGGGATTGTTCACTAGCCAATATATTAGCAAATATTCCCATGGGCACTTATTACAGCGAGGCGCTTATTACGTCAAATACTTTAGTTCTGTTTTTATGTATAAGAACCTATTTTATGCAATTTGCATTGCCTTGTTTACCTTTCCTTATGTTTTGATGTAATGCAAACATTTGAGAAAAATTCAGGTGAGCCTGCCTTATGGCACTACAGGAATTGTTTTCAGAAGATCAATTACAATTTTGTATTTTCTGTACAATTTACTGTTTGCTATGGCTTTTAAACATTGGTTAACATGGTTTGGTTAACAGTTGCTTGATAAATTGTCATTACCTTACTCATTGAGAAACCAAATTTTTACCCTTTGTCAATATATGTGTGTTTCTTATATTTTTAATAACAAGCTTTTAAAGATGTTATAAATTGTTTCAGGCACCTGGATTTCACAATGACACCAGATCAGACAAGTCATACAAAGGACTCTCCGGATGATGAATAATCCTCCCCAGAACAACTAACAGGTTCACCTCAGAAAGTGATGATTCTGAATGAATAATGCCACATCAGTGTGATTCTGTAGGTTGTTTTATTACGACATTAATCAAGTCTAAAGGAATCAATACCACAGCAGTGAGACTGTTTATGTGGTGTACACTGACGCTGACTATACAAATCTGAATGACTTTTGTGGTTTACTGCACAAACATAATTGACTTTAGATATTCTTCTACCTTGAAATTCTTCTGAGATTTGACTAATTTGTTTATTTAGAAAATGGCATTGAAGCATCTGTTTCTGTTTTTGAATGTTCTTGCAAACACCTCTGGTTACTGAACCAATGAAATGTCATAAAATCAATAAATATGATTTTTTATCTTAACAATTTTTTTGTTTTGCTTCTTTAAAGAAATATGATATTGATCATTCGTAACATAGGTGCTAACATATATCAAATATACTAATGCCCTGAATGTTTTCCTACAAATTAATACAGCTCACTGAACGAAGTTTTTAGTTCCATGTCAGTAGAAAAGTTACATTGATATTTTTATGTACCAGTACTTTATTAGATGTTTTCTGTGGATGCCATTAGTCTTATGCACCCATTTGGGTTAATGATATTCTGTTTCAAACTTCAATGAAACTCGTCTGTCAAGATGTAACAAGTATTGATACAGTTCCAAAATAAACTTTTAATCTCACCAGGAACAAAGGCCCAAGTGAGCACATAGCCAATGACTTTCATTTTTTTGTCAGAGTGAGTATGGTGTTATGCCACTTTATGAGCAAAATTCAAACAATATTATGATGGGTGACACCAAGCAATGTACCGATGTGGTGAATCGAATGCTTCAACCACTAGGCTAAAACAAACTGGCAATATGAAGATGATATGTAAGGATACCATCATACCAGGACTGAATGCTTTTCATTTAATACGCTGAACATCTAAATTGAAATATATATGAACTTGAAAAATGTTTTCACCAAAAGTACATGCCCATAGATCTCAACTTCAAGGGGATATTTACAACTAAAATAGCACAGAATATTACTACAGCTATCTGCTATGCCCAGGCTAACATTATTTACTAGGAGAAAGACATCTCGAAAAATTGCCTCCGGATACCTGCCGGATACCTTCAGCAATGTTCAATTTTCATGGTTAGTTTCCAATATATTTTTAGGTGTTTCACACTTAATTGAACAAAATGCACCCCCCAAATTGTGACATGTTTTTGGAAACTCAGAATGAGGTATCCGGTGCCGGATCCCTGGACACCCAGATTGAGGTATCCGGTGAGGTATCCGGTGCCGGATACCCGGATTCCAGGTGGCATACTTTCCGGTGAGGTGTCCATGCCGGATACCACAGATCTGGTATCCGGCAAGGTATCTGCCACCGGATACCCGGACGCGTTTTGGGTAAGTGTCCGGTGGTATCCGGCAGGTATCCGGATACCGGAAACTGCATTTTTTTTGCTGTGCGTGTATTTACAGTTGAATAAAGAAGCCTTCATACACTATTAATAAAAGCATATCCTATCCTACCGGTAGCAACCACCACGATAAGCAGAAAAACGTAGGTGTTTGTTTCTTGTCTGACGTCTGTTGTAAGACCTTGACCACTGAAAAGACTGGTGAATGTGTCAAAATAATCCAGGGCCACAAAGGAGATACGCGATGTCAATGGACTGCCTAATTACCAATTTTGTAACCCGTGAAGACCCGGGTAGAATAGGTCTTCAGCAACCCATGCTTGCCGTGAAGGCGAGTTTGCTTGTCGTAAGCTTAAGAGGCGACTAACGGGATCGGGTGGTCAGGCTCGCTGACTTGGTTGATGCATGTCATCGTATCCCAATTGCGTGGATCGACGTTTATTATTTCAGTCACTGGATTTTCTTGTCCAGACTCGATTATTTACAGACCGCCGTCATATAGCTGGAATATTGCGGAGTGCGGCGTTAAACAACAAATAAACAAACAAACTAATTTTGTTGTGAAACATGATAACATACTGCGTTACGGACAAAATCTGAACGGCGATTCCTTGTAGCTCAGCCTATCTCAAATACCAGCTAAATCTGACATATCCATTGTGCAGCAATTATACTCATTTGGCACACCTGTTTTACCTTTGCGAATTAATCCAATCAATTCAAGTGTGTGGGTGACTTGGGTTTAACGCTGCTTTGAATACTATCCCGTTATACCACGGCGTTCTATTTAAATGATTTACGGGCATTCGACCAGGAAACATCTGTCTGGTGTAGTTACCGATAACGATTAGAATATGGAGGTTATAAGGTGGATGAATGAATGAAAATCAATCTGTCTGCATGCGCAGTAATTACTGTTATGATTAGAATATAGAGGAAAACACAGGCGTTTGTAACGCAAAAAATAGCAGCTACAAGATATATGGTCACACCCATCGTTAGTATACTGTGTAAAAAGAAAGAGAAATAACGAGGCCAAGTCATTAAGTTCGTTCGAGGACGAATTCAACAATGTCAACTGTCAATACCCTATCAAACTATACACTCATTGCATGCCAATACATTAAGCTACACATTGAGACGTAGATCATGAAAATCGAAGCCATGCTTTTGGAGATCAAAATATCATGATTTTTCGGATCGGAGCCAAAATCCCTGCTCGGAATTTGTACCGATAGTTTAACAAAAAAATTGGTTCATTTGTTCGGTACACGAAGACCACGAGACAACGCGGCCATCGTCATTTGTTCCGCGACACATACCTGATGGTATAATGCGTTTACGTACATTAATTCGTCTCAATAAATCCTTTGTCGTGCCCCGTCGGCCATATACAACCTTGGTCTTGACACACCCTGCACTTAGTGAGTCGGCCTCGTAGCTGCAGTTGTTTGTGCGTTACAAGCCCCTGTGGAGGCGAAAAGTTGTATGTCACACTCACCTGGCCCGGCGAGGGAAATCTGTCTAGTGTAGCTGATAACGATGATGGGATTAGAATATGGAGGTGAGAAGGCGTATATAACACTCACCTGGCACACAGGACAACCGCCGTGTGTATACCCAAACAGGAGCAAAGCGAAAGTAGCGGTGAAAGCCGGAGAAACAGAAGCAGTTCTATGAACTATCTAATTTGGAATTGTATGTGTTATAAATTACAATTGTAATGGCTTTAGATAGGAGAAACCCATGACATGAAGCTACACGTTTGAAGGAAAACGTGACTGAATGACACTTCCCCATAAAGAATGAAATATAGTATGTATCGATTCAGTAAAGCCCATTACTCATGTACCCACCGTAATATTGCTGGAATATTGCTATGCTTGTGTCAGCATGTTTTTGAAAACATAATCTACTATTAATGACAATCAGGACAAGACGTAGTCTGAAGCAGCCTCCGTCTTAATATATCCTGACAAATAAATAATAAATATTTAATTTGTCAAACAACCTTAAACTTATAATAGCACAATATGCAACAAAGAAAACTGTTCCCAAACAGTTATTGAACAGTTTTTATGACGTGTCTGTGGAGGTGTTGCAGGTTGAATCGTGCATTATACTGCAATACAAATACTGCTTATTGGTAACGTTTAATTGGTTAAAATCCATTTACATGTAACTATCAAACCACATGCTTTTCATCTGAGTGTATGAAACTATTTTTTTCATATTGTTCCTTTATTTCAACTTAATCGTATAGCACATGTTTACTCTGTTCTTTAAACGTTCCATGTATTTAAACCAAAGATTCCAAACACAGATTCAACGTTGCATTGCGCTTTTCAGAGCAAGTACTTACGATAACAGATTGCATGTGTTGTATGTAATTACTAATTTTGTTGATAGTAGGACAAGATAACATACCTTGCGTTACGGTAAAAATACATGTACGAACGTCTATATATACTCACCGCCAAAAGAACGCGAACATGTAGGAACGTATGTTCCTTAAGAAGAGATGTTTCCAACGTGTACCAATTAATGATGAACCTAACAATCAGTCAAGTGTTACAACAGAGTGTCTCATCACGATACGCTTCACGTGATTTCAAACTTTAGCAGCTTATCCTGCACCGGACAAATAGTGCATTTCGAGTCAGGGATCTATGACGTCATATGTGATGCGTTCATGAGCATCCGTTCACTCATCATACCAGTATGTTCGTTTGTGCATCTGATTGATCTAATATCTCTTGAATATGATTAATTCTCATATATTAATTAACATGTATAGTATTCGGAGGGTATATATTGTGTACTATCGACAGGGATGGATCAGCATTGAGGAGACCCAAATCAAAAGACCAAAAAAACCAACTGATACCAATACTGATATTTATAATGCCATTAAACTTCAATCATATTTGTCTTATAATTAGTGATGGGTGTGGTTGGCTAGCCTTGTGGTTTAAGCATTCGACCGTCACGCCGAAGACCTGGGTTCGATTCCCCATATTGGTGTCCCCCGACTTGATATTGCTGGAATATTGCTAAAAGTGGTGTAAAACCATACTCACTCACTCACTTTTATTAGTGATATAGGAACGTAGAACATTGGTAGGTGGCACTGTTCTGTTGCGACAAGCACGGTCGGAAAACGCTCTTAGATTGTATGCTTATATGCTTATTTTATGTGCTGTCACAGCAGAGTTATTTACAATGGGGAAAAGGACAACTATCACTCTGATTTTGATGAACGTGTCATTTGTGTTGTTTTCTCAACATTTCCTTGTTGTCAGTGCAAACAGAGATGGCAGTTCAAACATGCAACATGGCGGTTTAGTTGAAACACCAATGTCAGTGACTTGCATAAAGAATGACCCTCGGAATGCTCACGGGACGAAAGGACAGACTTGATCCAGAAAGAAGGTAAGAGAGGAGCACTGAGGCGAAGAATAAGATCACTTAAAACCAGACCTCCATCACCAACTATTAATGTGGCAGATGTGCGTTCTTTGAGGCGCCAAGTTAACGAACAAGAAGCCTCTGAGAAGTTCATGTATGAATTCTGAGGAACCTGCCTTCTTTGTTTCACTGAACATCGGATTACAATTCAGTATATTTAGCCCCTTCATACAAGTAAAAGTTAAAACCTGACAAACCAACATTAAAATCAGCGAAATCGTGGATAGCACATTCTCTTTATCAATTGAAAGGGTGTTTTGATTGTACCGCTTGGGACGTGTTCGAGAAATGATGACGTCTTTCAATTCAACAATGATTAAATGTATAGAATCTTCTCGTGAAAACACTTTGTGACTGTAAATGGTATCCAATCATCTGTGGCCTTTACATCTACGGGTGTTCCCCAAGGTTGTGTGCTCTCTCCTGTATTATGTATTGGTATTAGTAATTTTAACAACCGTTTAATCGTTTAGTTTGCAGATGACGCAATGCTTTGTTTGATAGGCATTACTTGGAAGTTGACGGATGACAAAGTAGACACAATTTATGGATAACAACTTCTTTAATACTGTAAAGTGCGACGTTTCGGTATAGATGCTTATACCGTTGGCAAGCAAGATTTGGTGTTGTAGTGTTTTAAATGTTTATCTGTTTGATGACTTTCAAAAGGTCGCTGTACACAAATCTTAAGCTGGCATTATCCCTTTTATTTAAGTTTACTATTGCTGTGATACAAATGCATATACTTTAAAATACCATTCATTCATCTTCCACTCGTTGGCAATTAAATGCACAGTACACTAGTAGATAAAAGGGACAATACCTTTTTCGTTGTCATACGAAATATCTGCGAAAACCAGTGTCGATTGTACGATTCCGACCATTCTCATCTTCCCGAGGCAAGAGCGTTAACTGAGTGAGTGAGTGAGTGACTATGACTTTACGCCGCTTTTAGCAATATTCCAGCAATATCATGGCGGGGAACACCAGAAATGGGCTTCACACATTGTACCCATTTCGGGAATCGAACCCCGGTCTTCGGCGTGACGAGCGAACGCTTTAACCACTAGGCTACCCGACCGCCCCCGATGCAAGAGAGTTTACTGACTTTAAAAGTCCAGTTCACTCTCTTGCCTCGGGAAGATGGACCCTATTAAGAGCATCTGTTTATGATAATACCAGGTGTTCGCGAATTTGGGTACCTTGATATTAATATTTAATCGCGCTCCGTACTAAGCGGGGCGAGATACAAAAATACAGGTCTGTCTCATTTATCTTGTCAATCACTATCGTGATTACAACTTCAAAACGCAAATACCTGTCCTCTCAGCTTCATTTGTGCTGATTTCCATCCGCCTACGAACAGTGGAACCAGTTTACCCTTTGCCTGAGACATCAGACATTGTGTTGAAATTAATCACAGAGTTAAGAACCAACACATTTATTGAACCTGTAGATGCACTATCGCCAGGAGTATTTATAGACCTGGACTAACCCAACAGGCGTATTTTCACTCTTCATTTCGCTCGGCAAAATTCAGAAGATTTTATCGAGCTACAATGCCCTTTTCTGCGTCTCAGAGAAGTGGTGGTCAAGGTTGGTGTGTTCGTTTAATCCTTTCACTTCATACCATGTTATCATCCATAGAGGGTTCGTCAGAGTCCATGCAGACTGATACATAACGGTTCATTCCTCTGAAGTAGAACGAGCGAGGGATGTTCAAAGTGGAAATGTAATGGACCAAATTGACTCAAACAATAGGCGGTCAGTGTGATTACAGGCAATAGGGTTAATCAATAAACGAGGACGAATAAAAATCGAATTAGTATATACTTCAACATTTGGTTGTACGTCAATACGACAGTATATCAGACTGTACATAATCACCAATGTACTTCTATATCATTGTATATGACATTAAATACACTCGAGGGAAGGACTATATATGGACATCCCGACGTAAAAGGTTAACAGGGTCAATTATTTGATTTTAACGACATTAAATAGCAGTACAAGCCACAGGAGCGGTGGGCGTAACAACAGTCACTAGTTTGATTACCTCCCTTTCAAATAACGGATTACCTCCCTTACACCATCAACTGCATTGCTCTTGATCGCGGTCTCATGTGGCGTTCGGATTGTTTGTTGTTTAACGCTGCACTAAACTATATTTAAGCTGTATGTCTTCGGTGTGAATGATTGCATCTAGATTAGACAATATATTATGAACGAATCACCGGGTGTGACCGACAGATCAATTATGTCACCTCGTACAGCAAGCAGACGTTGCTGGAAGCATATTCTAACTCGAATCCCCAAAGCTGTTTGTTAATTTTTCGTATGAGCTTTTCATAAGAGCAACTGACTACAATGCATTCCAATGTGAAAATAAAAGAAATCCTGGGGATGTTTTGGGACCGCTATATCTCACTCACTCACACACTCACACAAAAATCGGCCTAGGATAACCCAAGTATTCTATTCTAATCCAACTATTCTATTATTGCCTATGCATTGCAAGTGTGCCAGATCTGGATTGCAATATTGAAATCACAAATCAGGTGGAGGTGGCAACATCGGTCATGGAGAGTCCTTGAATGGGTGACTGCGTTTCGGTAGCTTGGTTCCTGGACTTCGGTCCTGCCCCACACTGAAGACATGCGGTGTCTCCTTGGGTACAAGACTTTGTTCCAAATGTGCCTCTGTTCACCTAATAGTGAGTGGGTATGACAAAGTTCAGAAAACTCTGGACCAACGACCCTGGGAAACTACATATTAGGGCAGAACATGCTCCACTCACAACAAGCAACAGGCGGATTAATAAGAAATGCAGCAAGTTCAGCATCTAACAGAGTGGGTGAGCGGCAGATACTGGTTGTCGAAGCGGCAGGAGTTGATATTCCATCAGGACCAGACTTTGATGAAGATGACCCATTAATGGAGGCCGTCTCGGTAGAACCCGGAGGATACCATGCTATAATTATAGTCATCAGTACCGTTGTTAACATCACTGAAGAAGATAAGGCAGCACTTCTGTACCTTCCTTCACTTTTTGGTGAACGATTTCTCAAATATGCAATTTTTGTGTTCACGCATTGCGATATATATGCAAGGAGAAATTCCCTTATGGAATCAAGCTCTGGCCAGGCTGTTTCAGCACACTTTTTACCAACGCTTGATCCGGAAATGAAGCACATTTTTAAAATGTCAGAAAACAGATACTTTTTTGTGGACAACATGGACAGGAATATGTTTAACCAGCGACTTTTACTATTCGGTCTTATTGAAACTGTTGACACACTTGTGGACAGGAATAAGGGCAGTAATTATACGAATGATGATTTTAAAGCTGCCCGGCAAGTGATTTATCGTCTACAAAAACAGTTGGCTGATGAAGCTGAACGGGCCAGGCAAAAACAGTTGGCAGAAGAAGCTGAATGGGCCAGGCAAAAACAGTTGGCAGAAGAAGCGGAACGGACCAGGCAAAAACAGTTGGCAGAAGAAGCTGAACGGGCCAGGCAAAAACAGTTGGCAGAAGAAGCGAAACGGGCCAGGCAAAAACAGTTGGCAGAAGAAGCGGAACGGGCCAGGCAAAAACAGTTGGCAGAAGAAGCTGAACGGGCCAGGCAAAAACAGTTGGCAGAAGAAGCTGAACGGGCCAGGCAAAAACAGTTGGCAGAAGAAGCTGAACGGGCCAGGCAAAAACAGTTGGCAGAAGAAGCGGAACGGGCCAGGCAAAAACAGTTGGCAGAAGAAGCGGAACGGACCAGGCAAAAACAGTTGGCAGAAGAAGCTGAACGGGCCAGGCAAAAACAGTTGGCAGAAGAAGCGAAACGGGCCAGGCCAAGAATGTTTGCAAAAGAAGCTGAATGGGCCAGGCCAAGAACGTTTGCAAAAGAAGCTGAATGGGCAAAACCATTCCGGTTGGCTATATTTCTTACGTTGGTCGTTGGTGTGGTCATAACGATAATAGCCGTATGCTGTCTGTAACAGTTGTAGTTACATAATATCTACATCAGACCACTGTCAAATTAAATATACCCTTACTAGAAAATCCATTTTGTCATGTACGTTCAGCCCTTCTACTGTTGTTGGAGACAACATGACATCATTGTCTGTAGGATGCTGAGCTTCCGGATGGTTGAGGAGTGGGGCTGGCATTTTATCAAACAAAATATATTTTACAAGACAATTCTTGAAAAACTAATCATGCTTTATCACGAGCCGTAAGTTACATTGTTTCATGGCGTTAGGCTCACAACTTTTAATAAAAACATTTTGGGTTTCGTAGCTGCGCTGTTTAACTTGTTCTTTTTATGACATTAATAATTATGATTATCATTATTCGGAACTGAGTCTCACCACCAAACCAAACTCCTGAATTTAAAGAACCTTCAGTGAAATATTTATTGAATCCGTGCAAAGTGGTAAATTCTTTGTAGTGAAATTGCACAATACATAGATCAAGACTTAGTGGTTATTTTTCAAACGGGCACTAAATAAAACTGGCTAGATGATTACTTTCATACCGTCATTGTATAGGTATATGTGTTGCACAAGGATTTCAACAATATCATGAACTCATCTAACTGATCATGTACACATTTGCACTGTTGTTTCCTTTAAGTGTGGGGCGGTCGGGTAGCCTAGTGGCTAAAAAGTTCGCTCGTCACGCCGAAGACCCGGGTTCGATTCCCGACATGGGTACAATGTGTGAAGCCTATTTCTGGTGTCCCCCGCCGTGATATTGCTGGAATATTGCTAAATGCGGCGTAAAACCATACTCACTCACTCACTCCTTTTAGTGTAAAAGTATCAATTTGGACTCGTGTTAGCTTGGGAGGGGAGGTGTCAAAGCGACTGATTTGGGACAACCATTGTCTCAAGAACATTTGATTCCAAAGGTTAATTTCCCTGTAGGCATGACATGTATATGTCTCCATAACTTAATTGCCATTATGTATAAGACGCTAATCCCCGTTGTTAATCCTCACCAACATTTCATTATATATTGGCCGTCGGCCAACCTGGGCTACCATATCACTTCCCGTTAAGTACTGTTATTTATAGTATGATATTTATTGCCTTAATTGATCATCCCCTGAACTGAGTCGGTTCATCACGCCCATATGTCCAATGTCCAGAGCAACGTCATTGTCTCTTTGTCTGCCCATTGTTGTTCGTTTCTATATATATGTTATCATTACACTGTTAGTCAGCTTGGTATTCCGAGTGCTGGTGTAGGATGTGGTGTGAAAGGATGTGCCGCTCATAGGAAACGTCATGAGGTTGAGCTGGAGATCCGCTCACCTCATGTATGCCTGAGCTGGAAGATCCGCTCATCGCTGTGTTTGTGTTGACAGAGCAGGTATTACACAGCTCGTGTCACGGTAGACTACCTTCATAATGCCAACATCAACGTCCTGCCCCTGCCGTCAAGATCTCCAGGTCTCAACCCAATCGAACACGTCTTGGATGAACTCGATCGACGTGTACGTCAACGTCAGAAGACGCCGCAGACACTTCCACAACTTGCCAACGCGTTACAAGCAGAATGGCGAAGAATTCCGCAGGACAGAATTCGTACACTTGTCCAGTCAGTGCCGAGGAGATGCAGAGCCATGATTGCTGCCCGGGGCGGTCACACGAGATACTGACTTCAGCGCAACCTTGTGGCCTTATGTGACATGACTATGAACAGTTTTCAATGCCTGTGTACAACATGTGACTATCGAGCTCAAAAATTTCATATTTGTATTAGGTACAATAAATTTACTGAAAATCTACCTGTGCGTTTCTCCTGATATTTAGATAATTTCGAATATAGAATGCTGATATTTAAAACATCATTTTCAAACTGAACTTTCAAGCATGTTTTACTTATTACTCAATGGATATTGCAATACCCAGTTATATTGGGATATATCACTTGTATGCAATATGTGACACTCGTATAAATTATCACCTTTGGAGAAGTTTGTTTGTTTGTTTGTTTGTTGTTTAACGCCACACTCAGCAATATTCCAGCTATATGGCGGCGGCCTGTAAAACTCGAGTCTGCACCTGACAATCCAGTAACTGGAACAGTGAGCATCGATCCACGCACTAGGGATACAATGTAGTGATACTGATAATTGAGACTTTGGAAAAGAGAACATTAAATTTCAAGATAGCATGTCAGATGTGCATCTAAAGATACCTTTGTTGACCTACATCCTCTGACGTCTAACAGTACAAATATGGCCTTATCGTATGGTAACGCTATCCCAGGAGTCTATTTATAGACATGGGAAAGCCCGAGCAGGCGGATTTTCACTTTTGATTTCTCTCCGCGGTACCTAGAATATTCTACCAAGCTGCAATGCGTTTTTCCACGTCTCAGAGAAATGCTGGTCAAGGTTGGTGCCCTACGTGTCATCTTATCACGCCATACAATGTCATGTCCCATAGAGGGTTTTTCAGATCTTCACGCAGGGCAACATGTAATGGTTAATTCCCTGAAGTGGAATGCAGAGCGAGGGCTGTACACACTGGCCGACATGTAGGGAAAGTGTCCTGGTCCTAACTGACTCGATAACAGTCAATAGGGTGAATTAGAAAGTCACAAGCCTAAAATATGAAATAGTATATACTTCAAAATGCGGTTGCACTTTGATGTGGGTACATTATCACAAAGGTACATTGGTATGGTACTTCTATATGGTTGGGATATGGTATTAAATACAAGCGATTGAAGGGCTTTAAATGGACATCCCGACGAAAAGGGTCCACAGATTGAAATGATGTGATTTTAATATAAGTGCATTTGCAGAACAAACGACATTTGGGGTTAGCGTGACGAGAGTCAATTGTTTGATTAACTCCCTTTGGATAAGCGGAGTACCTCCCTTGCATCACCCGCTGCATTGTGCGTGTCCAAGTGCCCGATCGGGAATATGATTTTCAATAAGGCAGTGATATAGGTTTCATAAAGTATTATGTGGTTTACCAACCTTCACGGTCCTTTGCTGTATTCGCTCAATAAACTCAATGATGATCCTTGTGGGGAAATATCGTACAACCAGCAGCTGACTGATGCGGATTTTGAATTCTACTTCCATTTGTGCTAGTTGATCAGGTAACTTAAATCTAAAATATAGGTATCAAAAAGAATTGGTTCTACTCTTTTGATGCATGCTGACTTTGTTCCAGGTGAAATCTTCTTGGCCTCTTTCGTCCGCCAGCTGGTAACCTGTCTCCTGGCTGCCGCACCCATATATTTCACACTGCTGGTTCGTATCTGATTGTGTTGGGTTTTGTTCGTGCCTTATTTGTCCAGTGTCCATTGTGTGTGTTTCTCCTGATACCCCTGGACCAACGAAAGTGAAACGCATCAGTCATGTTCCCACCATTGGTGACAATTTGTTCACTAGGTTCAAATCCAACTTTCAATATGGCCGCCAGGGTGCCGTGGCTCTTTTTGTATGAAACCACATTTGTGATCACTCGTGGTTGTCTTTGAAAAACGAACATTGTATTCACGGGGTTTTGTCTCGGTGAAAACGAGTAAAGCGAAAAAAAGCATCACCTTGTGGAACTGCTCTGAACATAGCTGTTTTTTATCAAGTTTATGTATTTATTCGTAGCACGGCAGCCATATTGACAAAGCTATACATGGCCATGAGTCAGCAATTTTGTTTCACAATGTAATGAAATTTGGTATGTGTGTAGTCAGTATGACGCATGCATTCTGTTTTTCATGATATTTCAATTTTGTCGTTTATTCGATGTGTGCATTTCCTCACACTGTCAACTATATTTTCTCAGAAATCACTTGACCACTTAAGCTGAAGCTTCACATGCATCTTCCCGCTTATGATGCCACCTGAATGTACTCAAGACTTTCCGATCCAATTTTTCAATATGGCTGCCATGTTCAGTTTATTTTAAATATTGACATTAAAATTAATATTTAAAACTTTGACCTTGATTTGACATTTGTACTTCGACTATACTGAAGCTAAACATGTTTTATGACCATTCCTTCGCAATTTTGTTTCAAAATGTAATGAATTTTCTATTTGTGGCGTTTGTTGTAGTCTCCAACATGAACCTTCTATTCTTAGCCACGTTAAAATTCTACGTATTTATTCTATCCAAATGAATATTTGGCTCCGTAAACATGTTCTTTGAAATTTCAAGAATGTGAGAGGTGAACGTTGACATACATGTTTCTCCTTATGAATTGTTCAAATTATTCAATTTAAGTGTGCAGAAAATACTTGAACTTCTGTTTCGTGCTTGTCTTTGGTGACACTTTTACACTGTTGACTTCACATCTAGGTGAGCTACAGTGCCGTGACTATTGTGTTCCATGTATATGTACTTTGTATTATGTACTATCTTTGTCTGTGAATGAAGCATTTCATCACTAAATATACAATATAGGTATATATGAACTTCCTTTCAGTATGCGAGTGGCGTCCTACAAACATATAACCATGACAACTTCAGGGAACATTGCGACTGGGTGAGATAGCTACGTGTAATATTAACATTAAAGACACGATTGATTATATGTGATTATATTTGTACTGTGGTCACAGAATATTGAAGTAAAGAGGAATCCTAAAGTTACAACTGGAGTCATTATTTGATACTTACAGTTGCCGGTCTATATACATAAATGCAAACTCATAACACTGAATATGTCGAATGCATTTGCGGGTAGAGTCGACAGGTCAAAAAACAACTGACTCATTTCACCGTAAACTTATTACACACATTCATACTGTTATGCCAAATGCGTTTTTACCTTCTGAATAGCAAGTAATGAATTCATTGAATGTCAGCGCTCATTTAAAAGGGGGGTGGTCGGGTGGCCTAGTGGTTAAAGCGTTAGCTCGTCACGCCGAAGACCTGGGTTCGATTCCCAATATGGGTACAATATGTGAAGCCCATTTGTGGTGTCCCCCGCCGTGATATTACTGGAATATTGCTTAAAGCGGCGTAAAACCATATTCACTCACTCATTTAAAGGGTACTTGCGGGCCCAAACAGTTTTGAGATAGGCTGGAGATTTATGGGTCGCTTCCAGATAGGGGACGTTTGTGTTCGGATCAACGCGAAGTGCAGTTCGAAATGATAGTCTGGGTCTGTACATTACTCATTGTGTGGCAGACTTACTGATTTATGTCGTGGCTCTAGAAAGAAGCTTGTAGTAATGGTGTCAGCCGTGTACTCCAGTAAACTCTTGCATCAAAACTGCCACACGTTGTCTCCCTCTTACAATATGAGTGATTCAGCGTTCCATCTCTGACGTCGTCAGTCAGTAGGGGTGGAACTGTGGGGGGAAATGTTTTTGTCCTGTAATGTGGGAAACCTGATTCCGACGGACTTAGTTTGTTGGCTAAGGTACCTTGCTGGTTGTAACTTATTGTCGAAGTTATATCCTCCGAGAGTAATATGACATACAACATTTGTTTGTTTGGTTGTTTGTTGTTTAACGCCACACTCAGCAATATTCCAGCTTTTTGACAGCAGTCTGTACATAATCGAGTCTGGACAAGACAATCCAGTGATTGACATCATGAGCATCGATCCACGCAATTGGGAAACGATTGCCTGCATCAACAGCCTGACCACCCGTTAGTCGCCTCTTACGACAAGCAAATTCGCCTTTTACGGCGAGCATGGGTTGCTGAATACCATGATGTCATGTGGAATATTAATTGTCGACAAAAATGAAACAACCTTGATAGTCTCAAAGTGAGATGAAAATAACATGGTGCTTATTCCCCTTAGCCTGTTGTAAAAGTGATCGAAGAACTGGCAGGTCACCATGTCGACTGGTTCTGGTAAATGTACTACATGTATAAGGGCTAGGTCGTTTACAAATTTCAGCAATAAAAAGACTGAAAAGTTGTTTTCAAGTGAATACATTGTCAGGTAAAATAGTGATTCAAATTTAACTGTCGCCATTGTCCTTTTAACTACAAACCAGTGCCTTTGTCAGGAAAATGTTTCATAATTTGTCTGTAAAACAACCAGTTTATGAAACTCTGTTATTTGTATCGGGAATATGCGGGAGCTACAGTACTGTATTATAATAGTAACAGGAGTCATCATGATTTCAGGGATGCCGAGAACACCTGCCTGAACTTCCTGAAGGCTGTCAGCTGAACTTACTACTCGTAGGGAAACGCGGGCACGGTAAAAGTGCCCTGGGAAACTACATATTGGGGCAGGACATACTCCACTCACAACAAGCAACAGGCGGATTGATAAGAAATGCAGTTAGTTCAGCATCTAACAGAGTGGGTGAGCGGCAGGTACTGGTTGTCGAAGCGGCAGGAGTTGATATACCATCAGGACCAGACTTTGATGAAGATGACCCATTACTGAAGGCCGTCTCGGTAGGACCCGGTGGATACCATGCTATAATTATAGTCATCAGTACCGTTGTTAAGATCACTGAAGAAGATAAGGCAGCACTTCTGTGCCTTCCTTCACTTTTTGGTAAACGTTTTTTCAAATATGCAATTTTCATGTTCACACATTGCGATAAATACGCAAGGAGAAATTCCCTTATGGAATCAAGCTCTGGCCAGGCTGTTTCAGAACACTTTTTACCAACGCTTGATCCGGAAATTAAGCACATTTTAAAAATGTCAGAAAACAGATACTTTTTTGCGGACAACATGGACAGGAATATGTTTAACCAGCGACTTTTACTATTCGGTCTTATTGAAACTGTTGACACACTTGTGGACAGGAATAAGGGCAGTAATTATACGAATGAAGATTTTAAAGCTGCCCGGGAAGAGATTTATCGTCTACAAAAACAGTTGGCTGATGAAGCTGAATGGGCCAGGCAAAAACAGTTGGCAGAAGAAGCTGAATGGGCCAGGCAGAAACAGTTGGCAGAAGAAGCGGAATGGGCCAGGCAAAAACAGTTGGCAGAAGAAGCTGAATTGGCCAGGCAAGAACGGTCGGCAGGAGATGCTAAATTGCGCATATTTCTGGTGGTCGCTTGTGTGATCATAATAATGATAATAACCGTATGCTGCTGCTGCTGTCGTTAACAGTTGTAGTGACATAATATCTATATCAGACCACTGTCAAATTAAATATACCCTTACTAGAAATCCATTTTGTCATGTACGTTCAGCCCTTCTACTGTTGTTGGAGACAACACGACATCATTGTCTGTAGGATGCTGAGCTTCCGGATGGTTGAGGAGTGGGGCTGGCATTTTATCAAACAAACTATATTTTACAATTCTTGAAAAACTAATCATGCTTTATCACGAGCCGTAAGTTACATTGTTTCATGGCGTTAGGCTCACAACTTTTAATAAAAACATTTTGGGTTTCGTAGCTGCAGCTTAAAAAAGTTCCATTATCTTGGAACAAATTTCTAGGTCCCGATTGATTCTACTTGCCTTAATTGATCATCCCCTGAACTGAGTCGGTTCATCACGCCCATATGTCCAATGTCCAGAGCAACGTCACTGTCTCTTTGTCTGCCCATTGTTGTTCGTTTCTATATAATGTTATCATTACACTGTTAGTCAGCTTGGTATTCCGAGTGCTGGTGTAGGGACGACCTCGAGCAGGATGTGCCGCTCATAGGAAACTTCATGAGGTTGAGCTGGAGCTCCGCTCACCTCATGTATGCCTGAGCTGGAAGATCCGCTCATCGCTGTGTTTGTGTTGTCAGAGCAGGTATTACGCTCATTGTGTATTCGTTGTACATGTTGTGCATAAAACGTTCCGGGGCAGTGATGTCGATTTTGTCCTTGATTCCCCCAAGAGCCAATTCCCCGTCAACATGCGCGTTGAATCTGGTGTTAGAATCCGGCTGGAGTAACTCTTGAGTTTACTCCCGAATCAGTGACCTCTCTATATGCCTACCATCCTGAAGAACAATCATCAACTCAAGCCAAAGATTGAAGAAAACAACAAGAATCTCTCCGATGCCAATTTTCCTGATGAAATTTCCCCTTCAAGATGTTTTTCATACACAGGACCCATATATATATATATATATATATATATATATATATACTCTTCACAAAAAGAACCTGAACCTGAACCTGACTACACAAAATATTCCAGTATATAAATTGGACATATGTTATTGGAAGTGGCCTGATATTCGACAAACGGTGCGTCAAAACGCAGCAATTTTTGTTGCTGATGTTTGACAGCAAATCGCTACATGAATCAAATTCTTCAACCTCACCTCCTTCCAATCATTGACCGCTGTATCAACAGGACAACTCTCCACCGCACACAGCTCGTGTCACGGTAGACTACCTTCATAATGCCAACATCAACGGCCTGCCCCTGCCGTCAAGATCTCCAGGTCTCAACCCAATCGAACACCTCTTGGATGAACTCGATCGACGTGTACGTCAACGTCAGAATACGCAGCAGACACCCCCACAACTGGCCAACGCGTTACAAGCAGAATAGCGAAGAATTTCGCAGGACAGAATTCGAACACTTGTCCAGTCAGTGCCGAGGAGATGCAGAGCCATGATTTCGAATATAGAATGCTGATATTTAAAACATCATTTTCAAACTGAACTTTCAAGCATGTTTTACTTATTACTCAATGGATATTGCAATACACAACTATATTGGGATATATCACTTGTATGCAATATGTGACACTCGTATAAAGTATCACCTTTGGAGAAGTTTGTTTGTTTGTTTGTTGTTTAACGCCACACTCAGCAATATTCCAGCCATATGACGGCGCCCTGTAAAACTCGAGTCTGCACCTGATAATCCAGTAACTGGAACAGTGAGCATCGATCCACGCACTAGGGATACAATGTAGTGATACTGATAATTGAGACTTTGGAAAAGAGAACATTAAATTTCAAGATAGCATGTCAGATGTGCATCTAAAGATACCTTTGTTGACCTACATGCTCTGTCGTCTAACAGTACAAATATGGCCTTATCGTATGGTGACGCTATCCCAGGAGTCTATTTATAGACATGGGCTGGTCGGGCTGTTGAAGCACACCTTTTACCAACGCTTGATCCGGAAATTAAGCACATTTTAAAAATGTCAGAAAACAGATACTTCTTTGTGGACAACATGGACAGGAATATGTTTAACCAGCGTCTTTTATTATTCAGTCTGATTGAAACTGTAGACACACTTGTGGACAGGAATAAGGGCAGTAATTATACGAATGGTGATTTTAAAGCTGCTCGGGAAGAGATTTATCGTAAACAAAAACAGTTGGCAGAAGAAGCTGAACGGGCCAGGCAAAAACAGTTGGCAGAAGAAGCTGAACGGGCCAGGCAAAAACAGTTGGCAGAAGAAGCTGAACGGGCCAGGCCGAGAAAGTTGGCAGAAGAAGTTGAATGGGCAAAACCACCCCTGTTGGGTGTATGTCTCTTTTTGTTGTACATCGTTGTGATCATAGCGATAATAGCCAAATGCTGTCTGTGACAGTTGTAGTGACATAATATCTATATCAGACTGCTGTCAAATTAAATATACCCTTCCTAGAAAATCTGTTTTGTCATGTACGTTCAGCCCTTATTCTGTTCTTGGAGACAACACGACATCATTGTCTGTAGGATGCTGAGCTTCCGGATGGTTGAGGAGTGGGGCTGGCATTTTATCCAACAAAATAAATTGTCCAAGACAATTCTTTAAAAACTAAGTTGACACGTTGTTGCATAGCGTTAGGATTACAGTTTTTAATTAAAACATTTTTTGTTTCGTAGCTGTAGCTGAATAAAGTTACATCATCTCAATACAAATTCTCAGGCCCCCGAGGACAAAATATATTTCCAGCATCCCCCTCCTCATCATAATTGGTCGGTGCCTGAGCTATGTGTCTGCTAGTAAGTGTCTGAAAGCAAAGACGGAATCGTTACCCTTATTCACATTTCGGAGTTGAGGTGAGGTAAAATGGGGATAGTGAAACGTCACGTTCAAGATGGTATGCCTGCTTGTAATAATCAGACATATGCCCGTTTCATTGTGCCGTCACGGTAATACCATGCCGCAGTTCAACATAGAGACCCCATTCAGAAGCAGTATACTGACTCCGAGCCGACTAGTCCTTGTTTTATCCTCTTAATGCTGAATGCAAAACAGGGTAACAAGTACTATATTCTAATGCATTTTAGGTATGGCGCGACCAGAGGATCTAACCTACGACCCCTTCTCTCAGGCAGACTTTCTATCTACACCACGGGGAAGTACTTTGAAAAGTCATTCAGTATATCGATATGAACTTTTTAAATATGTTACCTTAAATAATATTTTACGATAAATAATGGCCTAAACTTTGAGTGTAAAGTATTCCATGAAACCCGTATGTTCTGTTGGAACAGGACACATTACGTTTCACAAAATCGCCCATTAGTTGTGTATTATTCCATTTTGAGTGAGTGAGTGAGTTGGGTTTAACGCCGCTTTTAACAGTATTCCAGTTATAAGTGGAAGGAAAGCCCGAAGTGATACAGTGACAAACCTAGAAACATAATCGGGGCGAATCGGGATTCGAACCAACAATCATAGGTTACTGGTGTACCCAATGGACGCAACTCTGCACAGCGAATCACGGCGCCTAAGACGACTGGGCCACCCGTGCCCCATGTTCCATTTGGAAACTAGGAACGAAATGCCATAATGTCTGTCTGAGTCGGTGTTCATACAGATCTTATTCCCCGTGAAGTTCCGGGGTAGAACTGGTCTTCAGCAACCCATAAGAGGCGATTAACGGGACGGGTGGTCAGACTCGCTGACGTGGTCATTGTATCGCAACTGCGTAGATCAATGCTCATGATGTCAATCAGTGGATTGTCTGGTCCAGACTCATATAGCTGGAATATTGCTGAGTGTGGCGTTAAACAACAAATAAACAAACAAAACGTATGTTATACCTGTGATATTGTCTTACTGTGATCTACCCCTGCCTTAATGCCTCCTAAAGTTTGAAACGAATGGTGTGTCATCGCACGCAGACCCATTATTCTTTCCAAACCCAAAATATGTTACTGACAGGCCCCAAGATATGCCGGGAATATTGCAACTTCAAACAAACTGGTTCACACACACACACACACACACACACACACACACACACACACACACACACACACACACACACACCCGTCATGCCGTCATCATGCGGTCCACGTTACACGTCAAATACTTGCAGTATTTCTTCAGTGTGCGAAATACGCATCAGTCGGAAAGCGCACGTTAAATCTCTAAAGTAAGTAAGTAAGTAAGTATTTCTTTATTACATTAAAATTTAATGAGATGAAGCTGGAGTGCTGTGGTTTCATGTGACAAAATACATAGTTTGTTCAAATTCTCTGTGGAAACTGTCATTACTCATGAATTGATAACAAACATATATATGAAGATCCGGGGTAGAATAGGTCTTCGGTAACCCATGCTTGCCGTAAAAGGCGACTATGCTTGTCGTAAAAGGCGACTTACGGGATCGGGTGGTCAAGCTCGCTGATTTGGTTGAGGCATGTCATCGATCCCAATTGCGTAAATTAATGCTCATGATGTCAATCACTGGATTGTCCGGTCCGGACTCGATTATTTATAGATCGCCGTCATATAGCTGGAATATTGCTGAAAGCGGAGTTAAACAACAAACAAAAGCACATACATACATACATACGTACATACATACATACATACATACATACATACATACATACAAACGACGGTACATATAGGTTATACAGTATTCAGGGGACCTTTTCCGACATTGTTGATGAACAATCATACTAAACTCCCATGAAGTGACTAGAATGAGTTTATTGAGTAAGTGAGTGAGTGAGTGACAAGGAGAATATCGCCACGTTTTGTTCAAAATATTAAACAAAATAACATTACTATTTCCCATCTTACAATAAAAAGAAAGCATCGTTTTCATCCCGACCATTGTCAAAAAAATTAGACGTTGCCTTCTTTGGGTTTGTATCAGAGATATGTTCAGCCGTGAACGGACATTACCGATGATTCACGATTACAATACAAGACAAAAGTCGTTATGTAATGGCAGTCTGAAATTATTCTGGTATACACGTGTTCCCGAATCAATATCTTCATGAATAATAAATTCGGCTCATTATTTGCTGTGTATATATAAGTAAGTGCATTCATTATGCACGACGTTCCAGTAAGCATTCTGGGGATATCGTTGATCTATACGTCATATGTGTCGTTCAGGGTGTGGATTTCACGAAGCGTTGTTTATATAATGAATTATGTATGGAATTATATTACAAGTATTTACCATTAAAAAGTATATTTTTTATCGTTTGCTTCCAGTGTTATTTACATCCACATGTACAAATATAATAATTTCGCTGTTAACATAAATTGAGTTGTCTGGGTATTCTTGAAATCCATTTATTGTTCTTCCAAAAGATCAGTGGTCAAGAGTGAGTGAGTAAGTGGGTGGGTGGGTGGGTGGATAGATGGGTAGGCTGGGTGAGTGAGTGATCAGTTTGGTTTGTTTGTTTGTTTGTTGTTTAACGCCACACTCAGCAATATTCTAGCTATATGACGGCGGTCTGTAAATAATGGAGTCTAGACATGACAATCCAGTGATTGACATCACGAGCATCGATCCACGCAATTAGGATACGACAACATGCATGAACTAAGTCAGCGAACCTGACCGCCCGATCCCGTTAGTCGCCTCTTACGACAAGCTTAGTCGCCTTTTACGGAAAGCATGGGTTGCTGAAGACCTATAATTCCATCCCGGATCTTCACGGGTCTGGTAACGATGTAAGAGTTATGCCCATGTAGTTGCTGTAGTTACCTTCTCTCATAGGTATTATTATATCTTGTTAAAGGCACATTGATAGTACTGAGAGGTAAGTGTGTGGTTGAATAGGTGTTATTACTAAACCTTTCCTCCAAATACTTAGTGATCGTTTGCGGTACCATCAGGTCAATAAAACATTATATTGTCCGAATTTGTGTCAACAACTGTCTTATAACATAATTTGAAAAAAAAATATTACTATTTCAAATTCGCTATTTCTGATTGGTTGCAACTATATCTCTCCTTTGAATCTCTTAGTCACATCACGCAGGGCATGCCACTTTGATCGCTGCTATACAGGGTGGGTCTCAGGGCAATACCATCTATAGTGTTTGTTTGATTGTCGTTTAACAACGCACTCAGCAATACTACAGCTAAATGACGGCGGTCTGTAAATAATCGTGTCTGGATCAGACTATCCAGTGATTGATATCATGAGCATCGATCCACGCAATTGGGATCGATGACATGCTTCAACTAAGTCAGCGAACCTGACCCCCCGAACCCGTGAGTCGCCTCTGAGTGAGTGTTTGGGAGGGGCGCACAGATGGCCCAGTCGTATAAGGCGCCGCATTTCGCTGCGTCCCTTGTGCACGCCAGAAACCTATGATTGTGGGTTCGGATCCCGGTTCGTCCCAATTATGTTGCTAGGTTTGTCAGCACCATGCCCGTGCTCGTGGGTTTCACCGAAGTGGTATGCGTCTAAGACCTGCATCACTTCGGGCTTTCCTCCCACATTAAGCTGCCACGCCGCGATATAACTGGAATACTGTTGAAAGGGGCGTTAAACCCAACTCACTCACTCACTCACTTTGGGTGGGCGGGTTGGTTGAGTGAGTGAGTGAGTGAAATGTTTAGTGAGTGAGTGAGTGCGCCACTCGATCAACTGCCCAACCACCGAGTTGATGTGGGGTTCGAATCCCAGATTCACCCTCATCATGGTTCTCTGTTTGTCAGCAAAATTCCCCTGCCCGGGTACACGTCTTAGACCAGCATCACTTTGAGACTCCCTCCCCCTTAACCAGAATAGCCTGACATTAAACGTAGCACAGGTGGCAATTCAACGTACAGAGTTGCGTCCCTTGGACATGCCAGAAACCTATGATCGTGGGTTCCAAGCCCGTTTAGTACCGATTATGTTTCTAGGTCTGTCAGTACCATACCAGCGCTCGTGGGTTTCTCCGAAGTGGTAAACGTCGGAGACCTGCATCACTTCGGGCTTTTCTCCCACATCAAGCTGACACGCCGTGGTATAACTTGAATAATGTTCAAATGGCGTCAGACCAAACTCACTCACATGTGGGGTATCGATCCCGCATGTAAGGCGTATCAAAAGAATTAGAGCTACCCTTTCACTTCCTGAAAAATATGTTATGCCTTTCACTTCGAACGAAACACTATTTACCAATATGATTCATGGCTATCGAATTGCTGTTTTCAAATGACACCCTACATCCAAGGTTGACATCACACTTACTTTGAAATCGAACATGAACAAAAACAAATTATATACTAGAATTATAATTATGAATCCCTTTACTCTACGGCTCTAGTCTATTACGCAGCGAGGTTCGAACTTTAGACCCTGCCGTGAGACAGTCTTCGTCACCGCTCCAGTGCTTCGTGATATATTGATTGACATGATTACCTGTGTTTGTGTGTCAGCATGTAGATGTCATCAGCAGCATATATAGCAGTGTTGATGGCGGACGTGTGATGCAATGTACATGGCATGGATTACGCAACTGTCGCGGAGCAGACACTATCTGAAAAAGGTCTTCAGCAACCCATGCTTGCTGTAAAAGGCGACTATGCTTGTCTTAGAGGCGGGATCGGGTGGTCAGGCTCGCTGACTTTGTTGATGCATGCCATCGATCCCAATTGCGTGGATCGATGCTCATTATGTAAATCGCTAGATTGTCTGGTCCAGACTCGATTATTTACAGACCGCCGTCATATAGGTGGAATATTGCTGAGTGCGGCGTTAAACAACAACAAACAAACATAGGTAAGACCGCCTCCGTGGTCTAGTGGCCGAGCGTCCGCCCGGAGAGCGGAAGGTCCGGGGTTCGATCCCTGGCGGCCTCACACCAAAAGACGTTAAAAGGTGGTACTTGTTGTTACCCTGTCTGGCGTTCGGCATTAAGGGGCTAACAAGGTCGGCTCGGAGTCAGTATACTGTGTCTGAGTGGGGTATTCATGATAAACTGCGGCATGGTATCTCAGTGTGATATCACCATAAAATCGGCATCAGTCCGGACCAGTACAAGCAGCCACACACACACGTACATGCACGTCGCTATATAAGTATAATAACCTTGGACGCGACGTTAAACCCTATTTCACCTCACCTCACCTGTATTAGGTAATAACCTGTGACGTTTGAGAACGCGGCCATGTTGCAGTGATTATTCTAGTATTCTTTCATTCGTGACTTCTTCAATACGAACCGGTGTTAATTTGAACTGTGGTAGTTCAGTAGTAAGTGCGTTCGTATCAGGGTTCGATTCCTCACATAAGTACCTTTTGTCCCTGTTTAATTAGAATCTACAAAGAATCACTGCGTTCGTAAACTGTAGATAATAATTTTAATCGCGACTGTAGTAGTATGTTAAGGTTTTTTTTATGAAATAAGAAATTTGAAAACAATTTAAGTTTATATTGTTTTCATATATTTTTTTTTTTTATAATCACTCTCGGCACTTCAAACCGTTCACCGCTTCAGGGCTGAAGGGGTGGCCTAGTGGTTAAAGCGTTCGCCCGTAACGCCGAAAGCCCGTGTTCGATTTCCGATACGCGTACAATGCATGAAGCCTCATCCGATGTCAATATTGACACCCCAGGCACCTAATCCCTCCACAATGTCTTAAGAGGCGACTTTGCTCGTCGAAAGAGGCGACAAACGGGATCAGGTGGTCAGGCTTGCTGATTTGGTTGATGCATGTCTCCGTATCCCAATTGCGTAGGTCGATGCTCATGATGTCAATCACTGGATTGTCAAACGCTGTATGTTCGTAGCCACATATTCTACCACTACTCGCTTCGTTTTGATTTGTTAGGAGCTTTGGTCATGGGTTGGCCAGTCGTCTAAGGCGCCGCGATTCGCTGTGCAGAGTTCCGTCCCTTGGGCACGCCAGAAACCTATGATTGTGGGTTCGAATCCCGGTTCGCCCCGATTATGTTTCTAGGTTTGTCAGAACCATACGCGTGCTCGTGGGTTTCACCAAAGTGGTATACATCTGTGACCTGAATCACTTCCTCCCACATTAAGCTGACACGCCGCGATATAACTGGAATACTGTTAAAAGCGGCGTTAAATCCAGCTCACTCACTATAAGAGGTTGAGTGAAACGAATTGGTGCAAAGTGACATTTAAGGGAGGTTACTCTGCACGAGTTTGTAGACTGGTGAGCACAGCGCTTTGAGCATATTAATATTCATGCAATATCGCTGTATAAAGTACCCAAAGCGAAATCGAATCCGGGTCTTCAGTGTGATGACCGACTAATCCACTTAGTTAACCCACCATCCTTAGGTCACAGTGACCCATATACAAGTGTGAGACGTGACCTGAGTCAACGTGACATTATAACCTTGTGACAATATATCCTAGTAAGAGGGCCACAGTGTAATAGTTTGGGCGTTGTGATAGAGGCACGATATTTTATTGGTTTCAAAAATGCATTTTTCTTCTGTGAAAAGAGGGGCCAAACAATTGTTCTCAGGACATCCAATTCAGCTGGTTGGTCCTCAAGTCACTGGTTAATGTTTCCAAAAAGATTTGCTTTTAAAAGAACATAAACACTACCTATAAAAGCAACAGATTTGATTTTTCTTATTAGCTATGTGACTTAGCTAATGGAGGGTGGGGCAGGGCAGGACATGCCTACCCTTTTCGCGAACACCTGGTGATCACGGATTCTCACCATCTCTCCATTTTTTGTGCCCTTTACGCCAAATGGAATCTGTTTCGGCGGATAAACCAGACTATAGCGATTCTACACCCGAATGGTATACAAGTGTGAGCAACACAATAGAAATACAGGGATCGACGCGTCTTTTGACAACCGTTGTCAGGAGCCCAGTCTCGCAGAGCAAAACATACAGTACAACCTGTCTTTTCACAGTCCTTGTTATTAAAACTATCATTGCACAGTCGATAACTTTTGGACACATAACAAAAAATGCGTTTCATAATACATTTAATGTTTAATCGTGTGATGACAAAATATCTGAATGAATGATAGCACAATATGAAGACTACAGCCACGATTTTTCATGATATCAAAAGGCGATATCACGCTTTGATGAGACAGAACAATCATATTACAAAGATGAAGATGCAGTTTAAAACACCTAATACCCGTATTGTCCACAAGTACACCTGACTGGACGGAACAATTAACTGACCTCATGAAAGGACTGGACATGAAACTGGTCACTTATTTGTAAAGCACTTTTCATAAAATATAATTTACATATACAAGTATATAAATCTATTAAAAACGTTCTCTAAATTATGACATATTTTTGGTCATCTATGAAAATACTTTCCTTCCAAAACTGTTAAGGGATGACATTGTTTTAAATATGACACAGCGAGAATTTCTCTCGCTCTCTCTCTCTCTCTTTCTCTCTTTCTCTCTCTCTCTCTCTCTCTCTCTCTCTCTCTATCACATACACACACACACACACACACATTCTATATTTGTACTGTGTAACATAACAACATAACGAATAGATCACAGAAATCAGACATGCTTTTTCGATTACATAGTTAAGCTTTAGGCGCACGTTCAGTAATTAAAAAATCGTAATTCAAACGGTTATCTGCAGGCATGGACAACGTGCAAATAAATAGACAACATGAAAGAAGGAAAATCAAGGACTTAATATTGTCACAAATAAATACCTAAAATAAGGTATGATATATAAGCATCAGCTCGGCCATGTTTTCACATATTTGAAGCGTTGTTCTTGTTTAAGTTTTCCTTGTGCACAGTCCGGGTCCTAAGCTTCTGGTGCCTGGGTTTAGGATGCTCGTCTCGCTCAAGATTCCCGGCGGAGAATACGACGAGCGTTTAGAGAGTGCACAGTTTTTGTTTGTTCTTTCAACCGGGTCCGATGGAATAATTTCTCTCATTTGTTGATTTGACAGCGTGGAAGCGTTACTCCATACACAGCAGCAAGCTTTTGGAGTTGAGACATATTATCTCCTCGAGTTGAGATCTGGAACCAAACTGTATGCCTGGGTTGAGACGAATTTCCTTCATCTAGATGTGATCTGTAAGGGACGTAGACACGAATCATGAGTAACGTACACTTGAGAGAGAGAGAGAGAGAGAGAGAGAGAGAGAGAGAGAGAGAGAGAGAGAGAGAGAGAGAGAGAGAGAGAGAGAGGTCCGGATAAAGAAGGTTGACATAATCGTGTGTTAAATAAGGACATACACATCGGATCAAATGAGAAATGTACACAAAGCCTTTTGGCCGATGAAAAAATCATAACAATATTTCCAGCTATTACAAATAAGACTCGAATTTGTCATGATTGACAACTGTGGAAGCAAGTAGACGTGAAATGTATTTTGTAGCGGTAAAATTGATAATAATCACGTGAACGAACTAAGCCACTGTCAGTAATTATAAGAATGTTCCTGTCGTCACGAGATCATGTCTGTATCACAAATCAAACACGGAAAATCCGGCATCTATCATGATTCATAAATCTTTATCACTTACGCCACACAATATGACGTGTCCATGTAGTGTCAAATTGAAAAGTATGAAATGTTTTAGTTCGATTTGAAACAAAAAAAGAACGCAAGAAAAAACCCATAGTCTAAGATGTATTATTTGGTGTTTTTTTAATATTTCCTTGTGACTAGCTACTTAATTACATGAATAAAGTTGGGTTTCACGCCACTTTTGGAAACAGTGCAGCCACTTCATAACAGGGATACCTAAATAAGCTCCAGACAGAATGCTCGTGTGGGGAATCAAACTCGGACCTTCGATGTGACGAGCGAACGCTTTAACCACAGGGCTAACCTACTGTCCCTTCATTTACATGAGGTGAGGTGAGGTGAACTTGGGTTTAACGTCGCGTCCAAGATTATTGCACTTATATAGCGATGTACGTGTGTGTGTGTGGCTGCTTGTACTAGTCCGGACTCATGCCGATGTATAGTGCTAGCCCACTGAGATACCATGCCGCAGTTTAACATGAATACCCCACTCAGACACAGTATACTGACTCCGAGCCGACCAGTCCTTATTTTAGCCCCTTAATGCCGAGCGCCAGACAGGGTAACAACAAGTTCCATCTTTTAACGTCTTTTGTATGACGCGGCCGGGGATCAAACCCCGGACCTTCCGCTCTCCGGGCGGACGCTCTACCACTAGACCACGGAGGCGGTTTATTTACATGAATTAACATGGTATTAACATGTATGGTTATAGACTTACTTACCAGAGACGCGTTCACCTGAACACAGGTATCCTAGCTATCAGTTGAAACACTTGATTCCTCCACCCAATGTGATTCAACACGTGTTCTACTATCCTCTCGATCAACTGATCCACAGGCAGGTATCGGACGTACAGTTCATCCCCAATGTGGCGAAGTTTAACTCCCATATCCCGCGTCTCTTCGTCGCCAACGGCGGACGCCCCAACAAAACCTGCTAGTCCATTCCAGTCAACAGCCATACTATAATTATTCACACTCGAACGCTCAGTCTGAAGAAGAATCGCCAATTCAACTCAGATGTTAATAAATTTCACAGTTAGCGACAGATTATTCACGGCATGTGTCGTCTGCTCGGCGCGTGCAGTCCGTTTGTCGTCTGCTCACACAGTGAAACGGTAAAAATCAATTCTCAAGTTTTATTGGCTGATTTGAGAGACAGCGCCCCTTTTTAGTCATCGATGTTGGAATTTCTGAAACGGACTGGCTAAATATAGACAAAATAGGTCAGCGTTCAAAGGATTTTGCATTTAACCCAGATACCAAAGGGTATGATGTAAGCCACGGCATATAAATCTAATAATGTATCGTTACCTGTTCGCCCGATTTCAAACAGCAGTATTATATAAGTCCCAGTTGTGGGTCAATCCATACAGTCAACATGTACGGCAGAACGAACGAAGCGGAAAAACCAGATATTTTAGCGAAGGTGTATATATAGGTCAACTGTGTTTACTATTATGTCACGCGCAGATTTGAACTCACGTCTTCCTCGAGCGGAAAGCGTAAACAATGACGAGTCGGCTCGCGTTGAGGTTAGAGTGGTGTCAGGCTTGTGGGCTGATTGACGTGCGGCTGATCGAGCTGATATAGACATGCGTGTGTTTGACTGACGTGTCGGTATTTACAACGGCGAAACATATTTCTCTTTCATCACTGATTGTGTTCTCACGAGTAATTTACGCAAATAATTACAATATTTTACGCGTGAATATTTTTGTTAGTGTTGATCATGTGATTTGAAAATAGAAACACAATTGTTAGTTCGATGCAAATGTAATCTCTTGGTGAAAGGCAAATGAACGCTGAGACCAAACAAGGCCATGGAACAGGGAGGTGCTTCGCGGGGAAAATCAAGGGGAAACAGTAGCGCCAGACCAAGTGAGGGCTTTGGGCTGCGAACGCCAAATCTGAATTCAGGTTTTATATTCCAGCAATATTACGGCGGGGGACACCAGAAATGGGTTCCACACATTGTACCCATGTGGGGATTTGATCCCGGGTCTTCGGCTACCTCACCGCCCCATTGGTTTTGTAGGGGGCACAGTAGTCTGTCTTACAGACCCTGATACAAATATATATCAAATACAGCCCATGCAAGTCTATAATGTTTGGCAAGTCTAGATCACTGCAGTATCAGGAATCTGAAAATGAAGAGAGTCACTGGGCTCCTTTTTATTATATTTTTATTAAGATAACTGAACAACTGGTTTTTTTATGTACGATATGTTCATTTCAGAGACTAGATTTTAGTCTAGGGGCACAGGTGGCCCAGTCGTCTAAGGCGCCGCGATTCGCTGTGCAAATTTGCGTCCCATACGCACGCCAGAAACCTATCATTGTGGGTTCGGATCCCGGTTCGTCCCGATTATGTTTCTAGGTTTGTCAGCACCATACCCGTGCTCATGGGTTTCACCGAAGTGGTAAACGTCTGAGGCCTGCATCACTTCGGGATTTCTTCCCACATTAAGCTGACATGCCGTGATGTGACTGGAATACTGTTAAAAGCGGCGTTAAACCCAACTCACTCACTCACTCAAAGTCAAAAGGTCTCTCGTGAGACGTGAGCCTAGTGGTTTAAGCGTTTACTTGTCACGCCGAAAGCCAAGGTTCGATTCTCCACATGACTACAATGTGTGAAGCCCTTTTGTAGTGTTCCCTGCCGTGAAATTGCTGGAATATTGCTAATAGCGGCGTAAAATAATTCTCACTCACTCACATTTTCACATGTACTAATTTGTTAAGAAAATACCAAAACCCGTTCACAATGATCAAGACAAATGAAATATTCAACTCCTGTAGTAAAAAGTGTGTTCACTGTACCCACTGTATACTAAGAAAAACATACAACTTTATGGATAACTCCTTCTGGTTTATAGCATATAGCGACGTTTCGATGTAGATTCGTACACCGTAACACCCCAGCTTGATAACGTTGTAGGGATCCACATCGAAACGTCGCTATATGCAATTAACCAGAAGTTGTTCTCTATAAATGTGTACGTGTTTCATACTTACTTGCCAACTCCGAGAATGACAACCAAACAGTCACTGTATGCTAACAAGATTTTACATGGACGGTTGCTATGGCACCGTCCAGTCTGAGAGGTGTTATAGCAACTGGAAAGCATCAACATCTAAAACAGAGTTCTTTATAGAAATACCAACATTGTCAGATACATGACACCCGCAGACTTCTTTGTCATAATACTGAACCATTTAACAACATGAAAAATCCCTTTATGTTGTAACAAGATCCATTTTAATCAGGAAAAGCAACTCGTGTTCCAATGTAAATTGAAAGCTTTATGTGATGTTCTCAAACATATCGCTACGCGTCTTCTAATTTCACATTGTTTCTATTTATGTCAACATTCGATGTACATAAACACAACAATGAAATGCCAATTTGATGATATCTTTTATTATCACATGATAAGACATTATGGTGATAGTGGCTACTAAAGAGGTGTGAGTACTATATTTGCTTTGTGTATGTTGATATAGACTTAAAATTGATATGGGTACGTGACTGTGATAGTGTTTTATGACATTTATATACATTTAGATGACATTCAAGAATTACAGAAAAAAACAAGAGAAAAAGTGACCAGGGCTCACTAATACCCCCGACTTCGACTCCAGCTTATTTCTAAGTTTAAAACATGAAATAGCAATATTTTCTCAGAAAATCCACCTATCGAAATCAAACTTTGCACTGCACCTCTTCTGTGAGTATGGCAACTGTTCTCTACATTTAAAAAGAATCCATTCTGTAGTTTTATCGTAATAGGTCGCACAAAGGTTGAATTAAAAAATTAAAGTTCAAAACATGAAAAATATCTTCTTTTCTCAGAAGATCCACCTATCGAAATCAAACTTTGCACTGCGCCTCTTCTGTGAGTTTGGCAACTGTTCTCTACATTTAAAAAGAATCCATTCTGTTGCTTTATCGTAATAGGTCGCACAAAAGTTGAATTAAAAAATTAAAGTTCAAAACATGAAAAAAATCTTCTTTTCTCAGAAAATCCACCTATCGAAATCAAACTTTGCACTGCACCTCTTCTGTGAGTATGGCAATTGTTCCCTAAATTTGAAAAGAATCCATTCAGTAGTTTTCTCATAATAGATCTCACAAATGTTCAAGAAAAAAAGTGCGAAATAAAAAAGATGGAAATGCTGTATTTCTTCCGAAAATCCAAATAGTGAAATCAACTTCGTACTGCACCTCTCTTATATGTATAAAACGTGTTCACTAAGCATGAAAAGAATCTATGTAATAGCTTTCAAGTTAAAGGTCACATAAAAAAAATGTGCTCGGAAGAACGGACGGAATTCCCTTTAGGTCAGGGGTATAATAATGTGTACCTAAGGGTAAGAAAGTGTACTTAATATTTCTTCAGGATCCACTCAGTGAAATCAAAATCTCATCCGACTACAATTTGATTCGTATTCTTTAATTCTATATCACTTAAATATTTAACATTTAGATTCAATGTTTCAGTTCAACATCTACTAAACGGTCTATATGGTAAATGTAAAACAACATAGATGAATACATTCCTTCAAACAATTGCAGCACATCTAACACAGTTAGTTTAGGATGTAATTATATATTTTGTATATCGGCGAATAATGACGGTGTCTTCGGGAGAATATAATCTTCATGTTTAATGTCATCTGTCGACAAATACACATACATGTATACAATGCTGGGCAAAAGAAAGCATACACTTGAAAATTAGATTTAAAATTACGAACGTTATCAAAACGTTACCAGTTTTGCAATAGGCTGAAAAAAGTCGCCGAAACACTGGACACTTCCGGTCCAAAACTCAACTTCTTGTTTGATTCATTTTAGCCACCATCAAACATTGGTGGATATTTTCTTGTCACCTGCAGTTTATGACGTAAACAGAATTTACTGATAAATTAGTAATATTACAAAATCTTACTTCAGGCAAGTAAAATATTCAAAAATATACACGTAATATTTTTTTGAATTCTGATAAATGCGCACCAAAAACAAAATCGCCATAAACGAATCCGTTGAAAGCAATGATGTCAGGATCTTAATTCTGAAAACTATTTTTTTTTTCATTTTCCATGTATCATCCCTAAAAAAATATCATTTATGCAAGAGTATTTAAAAAAAACAGCAGGGCCACGAAGAGAGGCGGTAAATCCTGTTCCCTTTGGTCAGCATTCCTACATCAATATTTGACCTCCTGGGTTTATTTGGCTGCAGAGCATGGATTTGTGAAGGCTTCAGCTTAGCGATCTTTGATGTTTGTGACACACCCGCAAAATGGAGGGATTGTGTACCGTTATCGATTCGATTTCGACTGCAATTTAATAGCAAAGAATGACCTGAAAATGATAAACGTCTCATTAACAGCATTATGTAATCTGTGTCCTGTTGTAACAACGAAAAGTTCATTCATTCTCTTTAAAAATGAATTCTTGTCAAATTATATGTTTTGTTTATATCTTATTTTTTTGTTCTTATTCAAGTATTTAATAATTTGTTGCTTTAAATAATTTACAAGAAAGTATTTGACAATATGTAAATATCATTTGAAGAGTATCTATGAGTGTATTCACAGAATATATTTTTAAAATATACATGTTCTAATTGGTCTTTAGGAAAATATTACTATGATGTTATCAACTGTCGATGCGGACACAAGTGTGGGTGAGTGAGTGAGTTGGTTTACGCCGCTTTGAACAGTATTTCAGTTATATCACGGAGTGTAAACTTGATGTCGAAGGAAAGCCCGAAGTGATGCATGTATTAAGTTATAATGTACCGGCAAATCCGGACAAAACAATGATAGTTCTATTATTTGTCGATATTTGTGGATTGTGGAAAGCGCAGGTCCAGTTTGGTAGATTCTTTCAATAAGTAGTGTCTTATATTAAAGGTGAGGTGAGGTGAAATTGGGTTTAACGTCGCGTCCAAGATTATTGCACTTATATAGCGACGTGCATGCACGTGTGTATGTGGCTGCTTGTACTAGTCCGGACTGATGCCGATTTATAGTGCTAGCTCACTGAGATACCATGCCACAGTCTAACATGAATACCCCACTCAGACACAGTATACTGACTCCGAGCCGACCAGTCCTTGTTTGAGCCCCTTAATGTCGAGCGCCAGACAGGGTAACAACAAGTACCATCTTTTAACGTCTTTTGGTATGACGCGGCCGGGGATCGAACCCCGGACCTTCCGCTCTCCGGGCGTACGCTCTACCACTAGACCACGTAGGCAGCTTATATTAAAGTAAAATGGACATTCTGTGAGCATAGAAAGAGCCCACCCGTGAAGGTCCGGGGTAGAAAAGGTCTTCAGCCACCCAGGCTGGCCGTAAAAGGCGACTATGCTTGTCGTAAGAGGCGACTAACTGGATCGGGTGGTCAGGCTCGCTGACTTGGTTGATGCATGCCATCGTATTCCAATTGTGTATATCGATGCTCATGATAACAATTACTGGATTA